TTCTTAGCTTCTTCTTGTATCTCCGTTTCCATTCTTGGGTCCCGTATTGGATCTAGACCTACGACCATCACTCTCACAACCACCTGTTCCACTCGGCTCGAGTTCTTCATATGAAGACCACTAACATTGGAGTTTTTCAATTTTGTGTCACATCTACTAGGCGACTAAAGCTGGCAACACCAAAATAGGAATTTAACTATACGATGCATAATTTGGTAATCTATATTATCGAACCTTTTTTTAAAATATTGATATTTTGGTGTTTTTTTAATTTTTTTTAGATATTTGGATTATTATTTTTCTTGTAATTGGTTACCTAATTTTTATAATTATGTTAAAAAACTCGCTTAGATTATCACTTTTTTTGTTATTAATTAATATTTGGAATTATTTTTTAAAAAATTATTACATATACATCACAATCATTTGATCAAATCTACTATAAATGAAAAAAAATTAATTGTAATGATATTGTAAATTATTTTATTAAATATTTTTATAAACCGTTGCATTACTATGTTAGTTTTTATATAGAAAAATCATTGCATTGAAACAATCAAACCGCTCCATTACACAACGAGAAACTATTGCTAATAACAACAAATCGCTACATAATATATTAAATAAACCGTTACATTAGTTGATATAAAAATGTTGCATAATATATTATATTAACCGCTATATTAGATAATTTAAAACTTGTTGTGTTAAACATGTCAATAACCATTGCATGTATTATAAGAACCACTACATAAGTTTTGACTTAAATCGATGCTATATCACTCTCTAAACTGTCGCCTAAAGTAATAAGGGAACCATTGCAATTGAGGGATATTATGCAACGAAACATGTTCTACTATTATTGTATATGGAAACCGTTGTATTAACCTATTGCAATGCCAGTCGGATGTAGTGACTAGTAAACATCTATAATCATGGAACACCTATAACTCCCCATGTCTTCTACCAATTTAGAAAGCTACCTCCTCTCTTTTAGAAGATTGAGCGAGTTACATCATAGAAGGGATTCTTTTTTGAAAGCTCTTTAAAAACTCCGTCTCCATCCACCGATTCATGTCTCTCTTTAACAACACAGCTTGTCTCCAATTCTTGATTTCTATGTAGAAGTTCTATATTATCTTGTTATAATTCTTCAATTGCTTTTTACATATCATACATGATCACTCGATCAATATTTTCTCTTCGTAGTAGCATTTTTCTATTCAGCCAATACATAACGGGTAACAAAACCATGCTCGATACCAAATTATGTCGAATCGAGAGATTTCAAACTCTATGGAAGCTCAAACGAATAAGCAACAAACAAGTAGCCTTTGGCTCCAAATAGACCTTAAATACACATAATCACAGTTTAAATCACAATCAACAAAATCCTCACAACAAGCATAAACCAAAGTCACTCAATATTCAAATAAACAAATACGTTATCCACAAATAAAGTATACGCATTCACTAACTCAATAAATTCAAAATTACATGAAAGTTTACTAAAACCTAGCATATATCTAGAAGTATATATGTGTCAAATTTTAAACAAATTTTAGCCATTTAAATCTTATTTCATAAGTCAAAATTCGGATAGAATAAGTTTTAAATTTTATAACGAATTCCATGACCTAAAAACACAATATATATATATTTGTAATTTTTTGAATTTTTAAAATGATCTAAATAAACTCATAAACTAACTACTATCAAAATTTTAGATCAAACTAAAATTCCTAGCCTTAGTTATCGACTTTGAGACCAAATATATTTAGTCTTGGAATCTTAATCAACCCGTAATTTATCAACCAAAATAAAACATAAAACCAAGCCTTAGTTGCTCACTCTTAAGAATAATCCTCTATCCAGGTTAAAGTATCATGCACTACGAATCAAGAGAATAGTTATGTTCAAATGCGATTGGTTTGATCCTACATCAAAAGAAACAAGGGTTTATCCGTAATATAGACTAGCAAAGATAAATTATAGAAGGATTTTTAATATATATGAACCCTTTGTTCTAGCAAGCACAAATAGATTAAGTATATTATGTCGTGTATTCTAACTTAAACTCGCGATCGTTAGGATTGTCGAGGTGGTTGTAACATAAAAGCTAAGGTGATGGTGAAGAGCAATTGTTGAATGATCCAAATGAATCATTTTTAAATATAGAAATAATTGAAACTAATGAAGAAGATGAGAGTGAATATGTATGAGGATTGATTGAAGGAAAGGAAACTTAGAACATTATTATGACAGTTATAACTAAAGATCAATGTTATTAATTGTATTCATTAAATTATATCATTTTCTCTATTATGCATTTTTTTATGTTGTGCATTTTAAAAGTATTGAATTTGTTTTTTTTTTAATTTATAATAATTTATAATAAATTTATGATCAAATTGTTATTTATTTATTAAACTATTTCAAGTGCTATTCTTCGATCATGCCTTATAGATTGGATAGATCCGGTCATAGTGTAAGTAATCCTTGCTTTGATGTTAATCGTTTGATCGACAATGGTGATGTACGTGGCACTAGTGGTCTAACTTGCTAAGGCCACACACTTAATAAAAGTGCAATCACATTTGCATTCCCTCTAACGATTGCCTCATTCAGGTAGTGCCACTTACTATGGATGATCCCATTACAATTTTCTCGACTTCTAGAAGTTCTACCGATTTTGATGATTCATGGACCATTTGGGTTACAAATAACTAGTAAGTAATATGTTTTATATACGATAATTAGTTTTATGTTTTCATATATTATATTAAAATTATTAATTTACTTATTAATTATTTATTTTTTTTGTTCGATAGTTTGTTTCCATCAAGAAAATGCTTCATAAAAAATTAGTATAATTTTCAAGAAGTGATTAGATGTTGTTAGCTCCATATAGAAGTCTATCTCTATATCACATCTCTATAAAGACGAAGGACTTCTACTTTAATGAGTGTAGATAATATATTAATTATTTGGTTATATTTTATTTAAAATGTTGAGTTAATATAAAAAGTACTAATATTATTTTTTGTCTTCATGTAGAAGTACTTTTTATGGGATGAGATTATTAGCGCACCGATTAAGGATGCATGGGAGAGTCCGGCATGGAAGCAATAGGGTGGCATGCTCAATAAGCTAAAGAATAGAAATAATAGACTTGTGTTTATTAAACATGAGGTTTTAGAAGCATGCCATCGAGATTGGGCCACTCTTAAGTATCAAGCTCGATCTCAACGAGCATCTCAAAATCATGTCGGAGATAGATGATGTCGGTGTTGGCCCATCCAAACATACCGAAGGGTTCATCTTTTTAATCGAACACACTCGAGCGTTTGGTAAGTACTATATTATCCATTCCGTTATAAATTAATTTTTTTATTTATTTAATCTCATATTATTTTATTTATTTATTAATCGTCATAAATTATGCCATAATTTAAATTCTTACAAATTGTTTGTGATCACTTACAAACGAAAGGATGGGACATTCGTCGACATGAGTTTGTAGACGGTAATAGTAAGGTGTGTGTGTGTGTATATTGTACATCTACTAATATAATTTAGGCAATATATTTATTATTTCTTGACTTAGGAATGCGTGTAATGAATGCAAGAAGTAGCTACTAAAGAGCAACATAAGGGTGATTTATCGACTCCGGATATTGATAAGTCCAAGATATATTTGGATGTTGTCGGAGGTAAAAGGAAACAAAGTGTAGGGTATCGAAAGTTATGTGTTTTATTGTTATTCGCAATCTAGCGCCGCCTCCTTCTATGCCACTTCATGGTATCTTAGTAGTAATATCCAAGAGATTTCTACCCGGTATGAAGATCATATCAAGAAGATGGAGGCTACTTATCTAAGCAACAGTGTCGAGTAAAGTTGAAAGCATATAGACTCGGTTGTAGAGAGTTTTGGGATTGTTAAAGAACTTTCAGCCACCTCCCATCCTTCTTGCTAACCCTCCCACAACTCACAATCGGCCATTCCTCTCAACAACCAATAGTCGAAAGATGATGTAAGAGATAGTGATAATAAGGACTAAATTTCTTATTTTAAAAAAAATCTTAATATTTTTGTACATGTGTTTTATAAGATGTTGTTTATATTTATTTATTGTTACAAATACCAATAAATGATAATTCATTAAAAAAATAAAATTAATGACAAAATTAATGATGGAATAAAGATGAAAATTAGCAACGCATGATACTTAGTTGCTAAATAATGACAAAAAAAGTGAGGATATTAACAACTAAAAAATAACGATTGCTCAATCCGTCGCTATTTCCACTTATTTAGCGACGGATACAAGACTTTGGAGACAATTAATTTAAAACCATTTAGCGATGGAATATCAAGAAAATAGTGACAAGAAAAAATTCTGAAATAACGATCACCACTTTGGCAACCGATTGGATTTTGTTTCTAATCCATTGCTAAAGTCATTTAGCGACGGAATAATTTATCGTTATTTTCTAAAAATTTTATAATGATACAAGACTAGCATGAAGTTACACGAGTGAAAAGCCGTAAAGAATAATGGAGCAATAAATAGAATAAATTTGAAGCATGAAAGTTATGGAGATTAATCGATGAAAACTTTTATTCCGTGACATTTTCTAATATGGAGAGAGACAGTAGGTGAATATGAGAAGCGATAGCAATGGGTGGGGAATTGGGAATCTTAATTTAGACTATAAGTTTATATTTTTTTATGAAAGTATGACATGACATGCCTCATCAAGTTCGTGACCATTCGTATTCTTATATTTGTTACGGGAAGCATTACTCTTATGGAAAATTTTCATAATTCATTCTCATTCATGAATTTTCATAATTCTTTCTATTAAAAATTTATTATATTTTGCACAACATTAATTAAATTATAATTTGAAAAGAAAAAAAACTAAATTAGATCAGCATCGTAGTTAGAATAAACAAAAAAACAAAATCAATAAAAAAAACTTTCCAGTGCTATACCCTATTGAAAGGGAAATTTAAACCTACATATTGGACAATTATGCGCCTTGGAGAGCCATCGGGTAAGGCAATTTCCATGAAAGATATGGGAACAAGGCGTTTTCACTACCGGATCGCCGTATGAATACTCTTGCGGACAAATATGGCATAAATCCATCGCATCCATCATCTCCTCCATCATCTCGCAACCACTAATCGTACGCAGAGCAACAATAGCTGAAATTGGAGCTAGCCCCCATGGTTCATCGTCGGCAATGGGTTTCACTTGTGTTAGACTCCTAGGAGAGACTTCTATAGAAAACGTTATAGCAATTACAACTTCTCCAATTTCAAAATCATCCAACTTTCTATACTCAAGGCGATCGAAGAATAGGTTTGAGGAGGAAACAGAGCGACAAGCATCACCCATAATTTTTTGGTCATACACTATATTTCTTGTTCTACAAACTTCAACTACAATCACGGACATAGGACTAGCACTATGGCTAGTAATTTTTGCAAGAATATCATACTCAAAGTGAAAGTGATTACCGTTAAGGTAATTGGATATTTTGTGCCTAGGTTAGTAATGGTTTCGTAAAGAAATTGGGTTGATAATAAGCCAAACATATTCATTACCATTGATTCGATTTACCGCGAGACCGTAAGGATATGAGATCGAACAACATTACCTTGTCACTACACCAAAATATGATCATAGGGCGGAATCACCGAGGCGCTCATGAATACCACCTCAAAAAATTAATAAGCTGAAGTTGAAAAAGAATATTACGAGGCGAGTTGATAAAACCGCCCCAATTTTAAAGAATTAGCTACCTTTATATATATATTTGGTTCTCTAAAGAGAAACAAAATACTTCATACTCCTACTCCTGTACTTGTTTTATAGAAATTAGGTTTTTTCATCATCTCGTCTTGCCACATAGAAATTATTTAATCTTCCCCTGCCGCCCCCTTTTATTGATAGAAATTAGGGTTTTTCATCTTCCACTCCAGCCATAAAGATATTATTTCATCTTTCCCTTCCGCCTCCTTCCTTTGACAAAAGCATATGCAGCAATTCAATTGCTCTCTCAATCGTCACCGATGCTTGAGTGAGAAGGTCTTCAAACGTGAGTTCTCGAACTCTCTTTACTAATCTCATTTATTTTGCTTAAAATTTTCTTTCAATGATACCAAAGCATCGTCCTTCTCTCTTCTTGCTCCTCTTTTGAATTTTGAAGGGATAAACTCTTGCCCAAAACTTATCCTAAGCAATTTTTTTGATTGAAAAAATTAATTAATCGATTGGGTTTTGTCTCACTTTTTTTGTTGCAAACTCAATATTGCAATGGTTTATTCGGAAAATCCGGCTTCATAGTTAGTTGATGGTTTGCTTATGCAAATTTGACAAGTATGCTATATGATCTTATGCAATTTGATTTTTCTTATACACTACCTCTCGCTGTCATTAAATATATTAGGTTGGCCATTTTCTCGTATTATCCATCAATTAGTTTCTTGATGTCGATTTATGTGTCTTTGAGTCAAGCAATGCAAAAGGGTCCGGCCATGAAAATCAATTTGTTAAGTTCTTGTATATTTTTCGAAATTACCTTCTTTTTTTCAAACTTGCCCTCGCATATTTTATGTTGAATTGGCTTGAAGGTGAGCCATTTGATACAAAAGAAAACCTTTTTCGCTTAATGTATGGTATGTTTCTAAGTTGCCTCTACTCGCACCGCTATTGAACCGAAATGTTAATGTGCAAAGTTACATAAGGAATGCTAATATGTTGATGATGGAGCCATTGTTCACCTATCTCGTTTGTTCCTCTCATGTTACTTTATCACACAGACCTCTCTGCTATGACTCGCATCATAAACTTTAGGCTTATATGTTACTTTAATATAACTCTACTTTGATTCCTAAGAACCGAAATCGCATCACGGACTTTAGGCTTATATGTTAAATTATTTTAGCATTTGCTTCTATTTGTTAGAGTTTTCTTATAGTTTTATGGAAGATTAAACATCCAAAATGATTTTGTTTTGTCGGAGGATTCATTTCATGTCATGAATAATCACCTTCATAAATGCATTCATTTCTTAATCAATTCAATCAATTTAATTCTTTTCTTTCGGAGGATGAAAGTCAATTTGCATATGTAGAAGGAACTGGAAAAAAACCAAAGAAGTGGGGAAAGATTGACCCAAAGAAATGGAATATTCATATTCCATTTCAATATATCTTCTTCACCGACACAATGTATATGATTGTTTTGATGCATTCTTCTATAAACAGTGTCGAGATGGTCTCAAGGGAGCAAGTCAAAGCATTAAGGGATGTTGTTCATGATGTCAGTACTTTTAGTTCAATAAGTATGTCCTTTGTTTATTTTTTCTATTCAAATGACTCGCTTAGGTTGATCGAATTTGGAGACCGGCTCATTGGCTCCGGAGATGAACGTAAATGCCCCAAAGGTGACAAGTGAAGGCTCGAAGGAAAACAGGGAGTATTTGATCGAATGTTTGACGAGAAAGAAGAAACATGAGCGGGGGATAAAGATTTTGATGAAGAAATAAGTAACAAGTAGTCCGTAGTTTACATAGATGAGAGAAAACTATAAGAGATGTTTGATATGTTAGATCGAACAATGTGAGCCAAGCAAAACGTTGCAGCAGAATGGGCAAACAAAGGGATCTAATGGTAGCAAAAATCGAGCTAAGAGACAAGGAAATAACAAGTTGTTGATTTGAAGAATCTTCTAATTCAATGTGCACAAGAAGATGGCCGATGGATGCTGCAGGGATGGAAGGGACGGATTGTTAATGCATCCTCCGCCTCTACACCCTACCGTCTCGTGAAGCTTCGTGTTGAGCATTTATTGATATTATACTCGTGACATATAATTTTCTTGTATATAACAATCCTCTCCGAAACCTAAACTCGAATGAGAGTTTGATAGCAACCGGTAGCTTTATCCGATAGTTCTCTAGTACTTTTAATCGAATAGATGGTGCATCGACACCGTTATTTAGCCAAAGATTTTACTCGTTTGATATGATCTTGTCTTTGAAGGCATTTTCTTCTACTTAGTTTCGTTGTGTATTACCTTAAAAAATGTCTTATTGTTATCCAAAGATTTCTAAAAACAAATGAGGCCATTACAACCGCCTCTATAAATTGTAAACCGCCCCTATAAATTTTAAACCTTGAGGCGGTTGTAACCGCCTCAAATATTTTATGTCAAATTTAAAAAAAAAAAAAGAAAGAACGTAGAGGCGGTTCTAAACCGCCTCAAAAATTACGTACCAATTTTATAAAAGATAAAATTAGCATCTAACCGCCTCAAAAAAAATAATTTAAGGCGGTTCGAACCAACCGCCTCGAATTCCTCGGCGGTTGGTAAAATGGCCCCTACATCGTAGAGACGGTGCCATTGCAGGCGGTTTTAAGGCGGTCCAAAAACCGCCTACAATTTGTAGAGGCGGTTATAACCGCCTCTGAAGGAAAAAACCGCCTACAATACTCTTTTTGGTGTAGTGTGTCGGTCGTTCCAAGAGCTACACTAAGGTCATTAATAGTGAACTCGTTGTTGATGAAGAAAATAAAAAATCCACAATCCTTGTATCTTTTATGGATATTGTTATCTAGCTTTTCATTCCACTTTAGAAGTCAAACACTCATAACCTCTACTTCTTCTCTTACGCTAGACATATATGTTGAACAAGGCAAATCAGTCGAAAACCCTAAATCAAAAGGATTACATATATGTCAAGCCAAACGTGTAAAAACTTTATTTATTTACCGTAACAACTAGCTAGGGCAATTCCAAGTAAGTGTGTGTGTCTATATATATACAGTTTGATATTGAAAAGGAATCTCCTATGATTTCTTGCCGTGTCAATTTCAATTGGTTGAAAGAGACACGAAACAAGTGGTATTCTAATTGGATGAATGCCTCAAGTTTGAAGAAATTGTCCATTTATTATAAGAGAAAGGGTGAAAAACAAATTAAATAAAGGTTTAAATGTACCAATCTAGAATTGAACTTTTGATCAAACCTAAATTCCTTAATGAAATAAAAGATTCCTCAAATCACTATCTTGAACTTGTGAAAATTTCTCTATTCATGCTTAATTTCCAACGTCGGGAGGTTACATATACCATGCAATTGATCTTTTATTAATCACTCGTTCACGCTTGAAAGAAAGATGATTTATTTGATTAGATGTTGATTTCTAAAACAACTCCCTTATGATATGTTTATGCAAGTTTTGGGGAAAACTTGTGAAGTTTTGGAGGGAAATTATGGTGTTTTAGAGGGGATTAAGTCTCTTAATATGTTTTTAGTAGGTTTTACAATGCTTTAAAAGGTGACATGGTGCTATATGACCTCCCACCATTAGGGATTAGGATGGTTCCTTGAAAAAAGGACACATTGAGAAGTTTCTTAAAATTCAAGATAGCAACTTGAGTAAATTTTTTGGATTAGGGACTAATTTAAATTTGACGTAAGTACATTTAAGTCTAAAAAAAACCTCAATTAAGGGTCTCTGTTTGTTTATGAAAAATATTTTTCTTTATATTTTCCAAAAAAATAAGTTATTTTTTCATTATTTGGATGTATTAAGAAAAATATTTCCTATAAAATAAAATATCTTTTTATTGGTGGTTTTTATAATGTTTATAGATGAGAAAAGTTATGGTGTTAGTAATAGAAGTAATGATAATAGTTGTGGTGATGCTTATAATTATAGTATTTATGGTAGGATGTGTGGTATTGATGATGGTGGCAACATAATAAAATGATGGTAGTGATGAAAGTGACTTTAATAAATAGATGGTGGCGAGTAGTGCAGTAATGAGGGTTACTTTAATAACAAGATGGTGTTGGTAGTGATAACATCGACTAGTTATGGTGATTGTTATGGTGGTAGTAATGGAGTTGGGGTGACGATGATGATGGTTAAAATGATGATTAGGTAGATAATCAAGTGACAATGACAAGTGATATTGGTGATGGTGTTGGTAGCATTTTGTGTTGGAGGGTTATGGTGGATGGTGATAAGGATATTGTTAATAAGATGTTGGTTGTAATAGAATTGGTAGTGGTGGCCGATGATGGTGGAGTGGTAATTGTTTTTGTGGTATTGTTAAAGAGTTATGGTGAAAAAGTGATAAAATGATGGTTATATTGCTAATAAGGTAGTGATTGTAATAGTGGTTGCAATGATAAAGTTATTGCATTAATGAATATTACAAGTTGATAGTACTATATATATATATATATATATATATATATATATATATATATATTCTCCTTTTTTATGTTAAAATATTTTTTATTAATGAATATTATGAGTTGATAGTATCAAGAAAAATATTTTTTCCCTCATTCTTGAGGTTAAAATAATTTTCGCTAAATTAGCATTGCTAAAAGATTGACTGAAAATCTATGCCAATGCTAGTCGTTCAACAATATAAATGATTGATTGAAAAATCTGTATTGGTATGAAGGATTGACTCGAAAAATCTATATTAGTGCTAGTCGTTCAACAATATAAATTTAGATAGTTGAGGTTGAGGCCTATCTCGAAAAATTAAACTTTATATTTAATGTGAGATTATTTTCTCTAAAACTCCTTATTTGCAACCTATCTTTTGAAGTCTATCAAATGGTTTGGGTTTTAAAATTTTTACTAGACCATTGAGTATTTTGAGATTTTGATGCAATAAAGAGTTATATAGTTAATATTTGATTTCATTCAAAAAATTTAAGTCTTATGGTGGATGGTTCTTCCTCAACCTTATATGTTACTCCTATGTTATTTATTTATTATAAAGTATATTTTTTAACACTCTCTCTCTCTCTTACTTACCATCTATTTTTTTAAGATATATTCTCTAATACTCCCTAACTTAGAGCTTTTGGAATATATTTTCTAAAACTCATTTGCAGCTTATTTTTTAGGATCCTTTAAGTGCTTCGAGCTATAAGATATTTGTCGGGCTTTAGAATTTTTGCCATGTTGTTGGGCCTCTTTTAAGGCCTTGATATCATATAAAGTTAGATAATTGAAATTAAATTTTATCCAAAAAAAATAAATCTTATGGTGGACCATTGGTCTCTTTTGAAATTCTAATATTATATAGAAGTAGATAGTTGAAATTGAATTTCATTCAAAAGACTTAAACCTTATGTTAAGTAATCTATTTTCAGCTTTATATATTATTATTTTTTATTTGCGATCCATCATTTGAAGTATGTCAAATGGCTTGAATTTTAGGATTTTGACTAAGTCGTTGAGTATCTTTGAAAATCTAATACTATATAGAGTTGAGATTGAGTTTCATCCTAAAAACTTGAAACTTTATAGCTGATAATCTTTTTCTCAACTTTATATATTATTCATATATATTCATTTAACATAAGATATGTTTTCTAACAAACAAAGACTTGATTAAAACTAATATGTTGTTTTCTTTATTTTCTTTTTTCCCTTTAGGTCTTATTGGCCAGTTTTGGGTGTATCTCAGCTCATTGTTTCACACACACACAGAAAAATTAAAAGCTCAAATCGAGGATCGATCATAGTTGTGACTCAAACAAGAAATTGTTACTTGGCAATTACCAACGAAACTAAAGCATATATCATACATGCAAGGCTGCATTGGGATATCTACTTGTGAATATTAATTAAAAAGAGAAAAAAATCTTGAAAATAAGTTGACGATACTTATTAACACACATGAATTATCTTCAGACGAAAAACCAAACCAACATCGTTATTGAAAACAAGATTATAAACAAATTCCCAGCCTATTAAAAAAGAAAAGAAAGTAAGATAGGTAAAGTGCATTTACACAGGGGACAATAATTATTCCTGGAGAGCCATTGGGTTATGCATTTCATGTGAAAGATATGCGAGCAAGGTGATTTCATCTTATGATAAAGATTTGAAAAATCTCCCAGACAAATAGGACATGATGAATTCACCTTGTCGAAATCCCCTTCAATCTGCATAGCAACCACTGCTGAAATTTGAACAAGCCCAATCGGTTCGTCATCAACAATGGGTACTTTCACTATAGGATCCCTTGTAGTGCATTCAACCTTGTCAGCATGTGCATGTTTCAGTGCCAGCGAAGCAAAATCATCATCGTCAGGTTTTGCTCCTATTCCAATAGCATCCCTTATACTGCATGCAACCTTGTGAGCATACTTACAACCAAAGTTCTTATAAATCGTTTCTTCACAAAAGCGCGCCGTTTCAGGAGGAAATAGAGCGGCAACATCGCCTATAATTTCTTGGTCATATACTATATTTCTTGTTCTATAAACTTCAACTACAATCACGGACATGGAAGCCCTAATATCAACCTCAAATTCAAACCGAGTGCTAAGGTAATTTGATATTTTTGTGCCCAGGCTAGTCATCGTTTCAGAAAGAAATTGGATTGATAACAAGCCAAGCATATTCCTTACCATTGATTCTATTTTCTGTGGAGACAGTAAAGATGTGAGATCAAACAGCATTACCTTCTCAGTCATTCCTCTGCTAACGAGATCATGGCCATTAATAATGAACTCATTGGCGATGATAAAAAAAAAATCCATGTTTGGTATATCTTTGATGAACATTGTTTTCCAGCTTTTCGTTCCACTTTAAGACACGAACTTTCATAATCTCTGCTGCTTCACTTACGTTAGACATGTTGCACACAAGCAAAACTCAAAAACCCTAAATCAGAAATATCACGCCGAACCGTGAAAGAGGTTTTCTTTGAGGCTGGGATGTTTGAAGCAAATCCGGCTTTTTATATAGATATACTAGAATTAAAAGGAACCAATTAATAACCCGGGCGCTATTTGTTTATTTAATTAGTTTTGTAAATATACAAAAAGTACCAAATTCTAGTTTGATTATGCTAATATGTGAAAATTTTTATTTTATTTTATTTTATTTATTTATTATTGACAAATTATAAAAAGTACTAAATTCTATTTTGATTACAGGAAGTGTTATTGTTAGCTTATTTTTAGTATGATACTTAAATGATATAAGGATATTCGTAATTAATGTCATTCATTTTTTTCCGAGGTAGAAATTATGTACAACTGTTAAAATAATTCTAGTATTTCTAATTAAAAACAATAAAAATAAATAAATAATGACGTAGTATCACCAGAATTTTTTAAAAAAAATTCAAAATTCTAAGAAAAGGGATAAATACATACTTCGAGCTTATCTAAATGCTTGTGATTTAGTATGTAAAGATTTCATTAATCTGAACTGCTACCGGCAGTGTGGGAGCCATGGCCTCCCAAATTTTTAAAAAGTAAAATTTGACCCTTATATGTAAGGGTTCTTTCAATTCAGCCCCTCCAAAGTTTTGCCTATTTTATTTATGACCACCCCATTTCTTTTATGTTTAGTTTATCGTCATCTTCATATTATTCCATATTGCTCCCCATTTATTTTACTCTAGCACCGCCACCATTCTCCAACATCCTAAAATAAGAAGGTTTTTCATTAGTTTTTTTTTCCTAATTAATAAAGATGTTTTTAAAATTATAACATGATCCTCTTGAAAAGGAAACCATAAAACTACTTAATCATTTAATTTTTGTCCAAATAATATGGACACAATGCTATATAGATATGAACGGCTTGAACCGTTCAAATGAACAATAAATGAGGAGGGGTAAAATGGAGAGTTCATTGTTCTTTCATTGTTTAAATGAACAGTGAACTTTCCATCTGTTTTAGATAGATAAAGAATTGTAAAAAATTATTTTATATATAATTGAATTTAAATATATCTTAGGAATATTTTTTATTTTGATAAATAAAAAATACATATAATTAATTATTTATTTTTAAAAAATCAAATTAGAAAGATGTTCTTAATCAATTTATATTAGAAGAATATTTAATTTTAGTTAATTAATATTTATGAAAATAGAAAAGGTATCCATTAATTATGAAAAAATTATTTTGATTAAATAATAATTAATAAAAAATAACCAGTCCATCAAAAAAATTCCAGAAATCTTTATGTAATATTAATTAATATTAAAAATTATTTTATATAAAATAATAATTTATAGGATTAAAGTGTAAAATATTAAAAAAAATTGTGATATGAAAAACGATAAACACTTTTGTAGATTGGCTAAGTAATTATGCAAGGACAGACAAAATATTTCAATGCCAATATAGAAACAAATGAAAGAAGCAAACTTGAAACTCCAAGACAGAGCATTAAATGCTCCCTAGGATTAAAAAGAAACTGACAGAAAGGCCAAGAAAAGCCAAGGTAAGAAAGACCAAATAGAGGAGGGTAGAAAAGTAATTTGGTATGAGGATAGAATGGCATCCAAGCAATTAAACAAACAAATGAAGGGCACTAATAATCGATTGATGCTTTCTAAAAAGTACCTGCAAGGGAGAATAAATGACTAAAGGAGCAGTTTAGAAAGGAAATCAACGGCAGAAAGAGAGCACAGAACAAACGGATGGTTGAAAGTGTATGAAGCTGAGTCTATAGTATCAATAGGTGTATGTGAACAATGTTGGAACATGAAAACATCGCCTGATTTAGTTATATAGTAATTTTTTTTACCTTTTTTCAATCCGAACGTCTAAATAATATGGAATATGATTAAATAAAAGAGTTAAGTGAGGTATATGGACATTATTCAATCATCATCCACAAAAATTTATTAAATTCTTCTTAATACATTAATTGATATAAAATATATCTTTAAAATTATTTAAAAAAGATATAAATTTGATCAATATATAGTCCAACTAAAAATACTCCTGCTATTAAAAAAAATATTACCAATGCAATAATTAGGTTAGCTGGGGCAAAATTGAAAAGTCTTACTCAAAAGGTTCATTTTGGCACCAATAAGGGAAGATGATAAATAATTGCAAAAATATATATATATATATAAGCTTGAATTAAAGAATTGAAAATCATAAAAGAGATGATATATATTGAAACCAAAGCAAAGATAGGAAAGAGTGTACATATATATAGGGAGAGGTGATCTCACGCATGCAAAGATGGCAATCTCATAATAAAGCATTTTGATTTTCCAATTCTGAAGGCGTGGGTGATTTTCTTTGTTGCTTGTCATAGGCTCCACGTTTACCTCATGTATTGCGTCAATTCGATGCTGAAATGCCGCAAATTAATATTGATCTAAATTATGGAGTTTTTTTTATAGATTGCTCCCTTTTACTCCTTAGCTGTTGTTGGTTAGTCTTTGTTTGTTGATGTAATTGGAGGGAGAAAATCTAAAGAAACAAACGGGGTAAATTAATCTAACGAGAAGAATTGGGAAACTGGAGAAGTGATTGAAGATATTTTCATAATTTTTCTGATTTTTTTTTCTTCACATGGTAAATTAATTTGATGTGTCTTGGTATGTAATTTTTTTTTCAGGTTAGCTATGTGTTTTGATCGAAAAATAAGACTTAAATCAGTCAAATCAAATAAGCCAGTAAAAAAAATCAAAAATTAAAATATATATACATATGTGTGTGTGAATAAAAAAAATACAAGAGGTACATTAAAAAAAATAAAAAAAATGTTTCATGCTATTAATTTTTTTTCATCCTTTTTGTTGATAAAAATTAATCTAAAGAGAAGAATTGGAAAATTTGAGAAGTGATTGAAGATATTTTCATAATTTTTTCTGATTTTTTTCTTCACGTGGTAAATTAATTTGATTTGTCATGTTACATGAAATTTTTTAAGTTAACTGAATGTTTTTATCAAAAAATAAGACCAAAATAGTCGAATAAGCTAGTGAAAAATAAATAAATAAAAGAATAGGAATAAAAAATACAAGAGGCATGTTAAAAAAAATATATAAAATAAAAAAATGTTTCATGCAATTAATTCATTTCATCTTTTTGCAGATAAAAATTAATCTAAAGAGAAGAACCGGAAAATTTGAGAAGTGATTGAAGATATTTTCATGATTTTTCTGATTTTTTATTTTTTATTTATTTTCTTCATGTGGTAAATTAATTTGATGTGTCATGTTACATGAAATTTTTTAAGTTATCCATATGTTTTGATCGAAAAATAAGATGAAAAACAGTCAAATAAGCCAATAAAAAAATCAAAAATAAAAAAAAGATTATAAATAAAAAATACAAGAGGCATATTAAAAAAAATTAAAAAAATGTTTCATGCCATTAATTTTTTTTCACCTTTTGTTGATAAAAATTAATGTAAAGAGAAGAATTGGAAAATTTGAGAAGTGATTAAAGATATTTTCGTATTGTTTTAGATTTTTTATTTTTTATTTCTTCACGTGATAAATTAATTTGATGTGTCAAGTTAAGTGAATTTTTTTTAAGTTTCCTGTATGTTTTGATCAAATAATAAGATGAAAAGCAGTCGAATAAGCTAGTAGAAAAAAAGATTATGAATAAAAAAATACAAGAGGTACATTAAAAAAATAATAAATAATTAAAAAAAAAATTTCATGCCATTAATTTTTTTTCATCTTTTTGTTGATAAAAATTAATCTAAAGAGTAGAATTGGAAAATCTGAGAACTGATTAAAGATATTTTCATAATTTTCTGATTTTTTACTTTTTCACTTTCTTAACGTAGTAAATTAATTTGATGTTTCATGCTACGTGAAATTTTTTAAGTTAGTTATATGTTTTGATCAAAAAATAAGATGAAAAACAGTCGAACAAACCAATAACAAAAAAAAAAAAAAAAGATTATGAATAAAAAAAATAGAAAAGGCACTTTGAAAAAAATGTTTCATGTCATTAATTTTTTTCATGTTTTTGTTGATAAAAATTAATCTAAAGAGAAGAATTGGAAAATTTGAGAAGTGATTGAAGATATTTTATAATTTTTTTAAAATTTTTTTCATGTGATAAATTAATTTAATGTGTCACGTTATGTGAAATTTTTTTAAGTTAGTTGAATGTTTTGATAAAAAAATAAGACAAAAAACAGTAGAATAGGTCACTCAAAAAAATCAAAAATAAAAAAGATTATGAACAAAAATTATAAGAGACACGTTAAAAAAAATTAAAAAAATGTTTCATGCAATTAATTTTTTTCATCTTTTTGTTGATAAAACAAATTGAAATATATTAAAACGTGAAAATACCCAGCCAAGAGTCACCCCGCTTCAGAGGATTTCAAAAAAAAAAAGAGCATAGGTCACAGCAGGTGTTATGACAGGGAGAGAGCAGCTCAAGAGTTTGGCGATTGACATATGAGGGTGATTTGATACGGAGCAGAGAAATCCTTGATTTGTTTTTGGGGCTGTGGACAAAACTATAGAAAGACGAAGACGATGTGAACCGGAATTTTATTTTTTAATTTTTTTCAGCATAAGTAAAAACGTCATAGTTTTTTTTTTTTTTTAGCAGCAGGCAGTCCAAACACAGCCCAATTAATCAAAATTTTAATGATTTTACCGATTTGACAGCCTATCTTACTCCAATCTCATCCAAATGCGATTTTAATGCTTTTTGAATCATTAATGTTGTTTCGAATCGTAAAACTTATGATTTTACGTTTTGACAACCTTTTTTTAATAGCCTAGCAGCGAACATGCTAAATAAATGTTAATTTGACTTGATTGGTTACACTCGGGGATTTAAAAAAAAAAGGGGTAATTGGGACCCCGGCTGTTTGTTTTTCCAATTAGTGAGAACGAATGTTTTGACTCTCATAGCCTTAAAAAAATGAAAATAGATTAAAATTAAGAAATTGAGAAACTGAAAAAAATAAGTCAAGGAAAGTACAAGTAAGTTTGATTTTGATATTAAAGTATGTTTCACTTTCTTTTTTTTCAATCTATACAAATTTTCATATTTAGTAAGTTGAAATTTTATTTTTTATTTTCTAAAATAAAATTAAACGAACTATATGTATAATTTTTTATTTATTCAAATTTAAGTAAATTTTTCTTTGTATTTTTAACTATTTTATGCTTTCAGTGATGAGATTTAAAAAATATATATATTTTACTGAATTTAGCTTGGTTTTTTTTTTTTTTTTTTTGATTGACATTCACATTTATTATATTTTCTATATTTAGTTGAAGGAAATTTTCTTTCAAAATCAATTTATGCATAAATATTTTAAATGAATCACTTGAAAAAATAAGTTATGGGACTTAATTGATATTATTAAGACTCTAAAAGACATGGGTTCTAATTATTTATGAAGTTGTTCACCTTCTTTGTTTATGTATGTGTGTGTATTTTGTAATCTAAGTGCAAGAAATGTTTATAGTGCAGTGATTAAGATGATTGCTTCCGAAGTAATACACTCGGGTTTGATTCCCGTTAGACGCATTTATGGTTTGATTTTTTTTTCCTCATCATTTGTAACGTCTTTATTCCTCGATCTGTAGAGGAACTCTTTTCATCCCTTTTCTTTTAGATGTCCCGAGAGGAGTGGAAAGAAACAGGTCTTTTTTAATGGCAGCTGTCATATACACAATTATAGGATCCAATGGTGGCTGCGTAGGGGCAGTAATATTGAAGCTAGACAGATCTAGCTGAGACATGTTTTATCTGTGAGGAGTACTATGTGTGTTTGATTTAGGAGTTGCCGTCTTTCCTTCAAAGAAGAGTTGAGATGCTCATTCAGACAATAAAACTTATCGGGCAATAATGATCGGCATTGGAGGTTTTCCTCATTCGTCCATTCCTCATCAATGTCATAGGATTAGGGGACTGGCATCCTATTTTTCAAGGCACTTCCACCTGTTCACCTCTTTGTTTTGTGTGTGTGTACATACACACATTGTAGTTCAGGCATAAAAAAGTGTTTACAATGCAACGGTTAAGATGATTATCTTTCGAGTAATAAATTTCAATTCGACTCCTAACATAGACATTTTATGCTTTGATTTTTTTCCCTCATGCACTTTTTATTCAATGTGTGTGTATATATATATTGTAATCCAAGTGCAAGAAAATGTTTACAATCCAGCGAGTTAAGATAATTGTCTTTCAAGTAATACACTCGGGTTCTTTGATCTTTTGTTTTTCTACATACACTTTTTTTTATGTGTATATATATGTGTGTATATATATTTTTTTGTAATCCAAAAATAAGAAAGTGTTTATAGTCCAGCGGTTAAGGTAATTGCTTTCCAAGTAATACACTCAAGTTCTTTGATTTATTTTCCCATATACACCTTTTTTTTTTTTTTATGTATATGTGTGTGTGTATTGTAATCCAAATACAAGAAAGTGTTTATAGTTCAACGGTTAAGGTTGCTTTCCAAGTAATACACTTGAGTTCTACTCTCGATAGATGTATTTATGCTTTGATTTTTTTTCCACATACACGTCTTATATATATGTTCACTCGAGTTATTATTATTGTTGTTATTATCATCTTTATACTCGTGCTATTCACTCTTAGTTTTTTCTTTTAGGTTTTTTTTTTGTAATTTTTTAAATTATTTCATTTTGATCCTTAAAATTTTAAAATAAAAATTTTGATCCTTACTTGATGCACTACATGCCTTTTTTTTTCTTTGCTTTTTTTTTTCCCACCTATTTATGTTCTCTTTTTATTTAATTGGGTGTTAAATTTTTTAAAAATTGATCGTTATTTTTTTTCATACAAAATAATGATTATATAATGTATATATATAAGTCAAATGTATATACTTTCAAGATCACCCCTCATAATATACTATTCACTCTTTTTTTAAAAAAAAATTCACTCTTACTTTTTTTTTTCCTTTTTATCTTAGCTTTTTTTTTTGTGTAATTTTCAAATTATTTTTTTATGTTTTTTTTTTAATTTTCACTCTTAGTTTTTTTTTTTTTTTGTGATTTTCAAATTATTTCGTTTTGATCCCTAAAATTTTAATCCCTATCTAATGCACTACATGGTTTTTTTTTCTTTATTTTTTTCATCAATTTATGTTCTTTTTTTATTTAATTGGGTCTTAAAATTTTTAAACATCAATCGTTATTTTTTTCCACACAAACGGATGATTATATAATATATATAAATCAAATATATGCATTTTAAAAAGATAATCTTCTCATCAACATTAAATAAGAATAAAATTTTATTTTTTCATTGGTTAATTTTTATGCAAGTCTATACATTAATTGTAACTTTATGTTTTGGATATATTTTTATAAAATAATATATTTTTAAAGTATTTATTTTTAAATTCTTAAATAATGTTTCAATTTTAAATTATTTATTACAAGTTTTTCCGTAGGAATCCATAAATAAAGAAAAATAAATCATATTTTTTTAGGTAGAAATTATATGAAAAACACAAAAAAAGTAATAATTAAAGAAAAAATTATAAAATTTTGAAATGATTTTGTTCTATCTACCCACGGCGTTGCTTGAATAGTTTCAAAAATTAATCTTCTCATCAACATTAAATAAGAAATTTTTTTTCCATTTTTCAGTTTTTATAAAAGTCTATCTATTAATTATAACTTTATATTTTAAAATACAATATTATGAAAATTTTATTTTTAAAGTTTTTTTATTCTTGATTAATATTTTAGTTAAAATCAATCCATAAAGAAGAATGATTTATGTTTTTTTAAGCAAAAAATATTAATTAAATAAGAAATTATAATTAAAAAATTTCAAAATTATTTTGTTCTATCGGATCTATAGCGTAGTGCGAGCAACTAGTTAATACTATCTATATTTTGTTGATAAAATGAATTTTATAAAATAGAAGACATTTTCCATTACTTTTGCCAATAAAAGTGAATGAAATGACCTTATCCGCGATAAATAGATGAAACCTCAAGACGATAACTAATAGAGAACAATCTTTTGAAAAAAATTAAATGATTGAACTCATATACTTCAAATGATGAAATGAAATTAACTTTCATAACATACAATAATAATTAAAAAAAAAAGATTAAAAAAAGAAGAAAAGAAAAGGAAGCTTTCAATTAAAAATAACGAGTAAGAAACAATTAGCTTAGACATAATAGCACATCCATCTTTCTCACGATACTATCCTTCACTTAGGCATTTTAATTAACAAATAACTATAGTTTTGAATTAATTAAAGCTAATATTTATTCACTCCCATTAAAATAGTTGGAGATAAGTGTAGAATAAGATCATCTTCACATAGCTTGATCGCCTCATCCCATGGAAGCGTAACCATAACCACCCTGCTCAATGGACCCTCGCCCTTTGGCGATGGAAGGATCCAAACATGTCCTGCCCCAACAACAGGTTCAACATAATAAGAAGCACGAATTGGGACCAAGCCTTCTTCAAATACGGCTAAATATGGATCCACACCTTCTAAACTAACACAAATGAGATCACAGCCATTCATCAAAGGAGGAGATTGATAATCATTCTGTTGTAGCCAATCGATTAAGTCAACGATCGCATCACTATCCATTTTTGCCACCACTTCTCCAATAGCCTCAGCAGCATCGGATAATTTATATTCTTTTACATACCTTGAGCTAATCTTATTATAAACCATGCAGTTTCCAAAAAATCCATTATCAAGATGCAACACTTTTCTCATGTCTAAACAAATAGACATATCTATTAGACCATCACTTGATCTTTTCAATTTGCTTAAACAAACCCAAAAAAGCCCAGCTAGTGCCTCAAAGGGCGATGGATTAGATTGATCCGTGGTTCGACAGGTTGCCATGCAAGCTCGAACCATAGGGTCCGAAAATGCAAGAGCAATAGTTGCATGCTTTGTGTCCGTGACCATGTTTGCTTTCTCAATAAGAGGTTTGTAGGAATCGATCAAGTCGATGTAAGGCTCATGGTTGGGATTTTGCCTGCCGGGTCTGCGAGGCGGCAATGGGTTGAAGAGAGGGGGATCGAGCATTTTTCCGGTAAAGGTCACGTCGGCCCAGGCCTTAATGAACATAGTCGCACAAGTAGGATCAGCCAGGAGGTGAAAGCAGCTCAAGCCAATTGCTAATCCATCTTCTTCAAATTCAGTTATCTGAAAGACAATAAAAGTAGATTGCTAACTATATAAGGTTTAGTAATTAATGAAAATTCCAATAACGTAAAATTATAGTAAGAATGAAAATGTTAGTCAATGGAAGATGTGCATGTGCATGTGCATGTTTAGGGCTTAAAAAGGACTTTTTTTTTTTTTACCTGAGCATAGAAGGTAGACCAAAAATAAGGCTTATGGAACATTTCTTCCCAGTGAATAAGCTTAAGCTCCTTCTCTCTATCTACACTCTTCAACCAATCTTCCACACTCCCTTTTGCTCTAGCCTCCACCATTCTTACCCCAGCATCATTGCACTTGATCATCCAATGGCCTTCTGGGTCTTTTAGCAACCTACCGGTTACTATAGGAAAACTTGTAAGCATTTCTGACATAGACTCTCTTAGCTTCTTGGTTAACTCTCCAGGCTCCCTTGTTCCTGGGGTCTGAAAATAATACACAATTTTTAGCCAGTTTTGTTCCATGAGACGGTCTAAAACTGAAAATGAGCAGTATTTTCCTGGCTGTACTGGTTTTGCGCTAACAATAGTGCGCTTGCAAATGTATGCGACCTCGGCCATTGTTAGGAAGGATGTGATAGAGATCCGTAGTTACTTGGGTAGTTTTGTGAGTGCGATTTATATATAGGGAGAGATGGTGGAATTAATGGAGTTTAAGAGGGTCCTTGTTTTATGACTACCAGAAAAAACAAACTTCATAGATTTGTGGGAAATGATTTTTTCATGAGCCATCCATGGAATTACGTAGTTGGATATACTTAACATTTTCCTAGAACTAGAATGTATAGACATCATGCTTTATTGAGAAATTTTATTAAGAAATTTATGGTACTTCATTCTCCAAAAAGAAAAAGAAATTTTTTTTCATGCTATTGATCACGGAAATTGGAAATCTTTCACCATTGGTTGCAATATTGTAATTGGCTTAATCTTCCTCTTTATTAGCAAGTGATCTTAATTAATTTCGATCACGAGCCATTCACGATCCTGATTAATTAGATTACCAAGTTGGATATGCTTACCATTTCCTATAGAACTAGAATATTGTATAATCATCATGCTTTTTGAGTACTTTTATTAAAAAATATATGGTCCTTCATTCTCCAAAAATAAAAGAAAATTTACGTCGTCATCACTGAAACTGGAAATCTTTCACCATTGGTTGCAATCTTGTAATGGACCCTAGCCTTCCTCTTTATGAGCGCGCATATATATATATATATATATATATATATATATATATATATATCTTAATTTGCATATTTTATTTATGTATTCTTGATATGTTTTTTTAAGATGGTTTTTTATTTTTTTTAGGTATCTCTATTTTAAATATTTTTTTTAATATGATTTATCTGACAGGATTTTCTATAAATTTTTCATGAAAATAAGTCACAGATGTTAAAAAATATTTTAATTTTCAAAAATAATTTTTTTAGTTTGTTTGTTTTATTTTATTATTTTTTTATACATGTCACTATTATCTTATATCGAAAAAATTAACCGAAATCTTATTAAAAAGTATCACTGTAAAAAAAAAACTAGAGCATAAGAATCAAATAAATAAATAAATCATATTAAAAATATATCAAGAATACAAAAACGAAACGAAACGAAACGTGCAATTAATCCGTAGCCTATACATGTGGAGGCAAATTCTCTTCAAAACATCTAGCCACCAGAAATATTTTAAGACATGTTGAGCTATGGAATTGATCCCAACTCCTATCATAAGAGAATTAATTAGGGAGGAAAAAGGATTAAAAAAAATTGCTTCCATTGAAAAAAAAATGCACAGGAAAAATAAGAGAACAGATCACAAATAAAAATCGATAAATAATGGCAGCAGCTAGCTTGCAAAGTTTAGAAGAGCAAGTGTGCATGAGCTTAAGGGAAGCTGGTGAAGTCGGAAAAAAAAAAAAAAAATCCACCATATTTGCAACATGTAAGCAAGCATCATGCTTTACATAGAAGAATTTTTCCTCCCCCAACAATTGAGAAACAATTTTTCTTTTTCTTCTTTGGTTAATTCAAAGGCTTATTGGCATAGTTCATTATTCATTTTTTTTATTTAGCTACAATTAAATCTGATCATACAATTCAATCATTTTATTAACAAGTTATAGAGATAACATTATTGCAAGAAATGATAACGATAGAGAATAATATAAAAATATTTTTAAAATTTTATCTAACAATTTAAGTTTTTGAATTAAAATAATTTTTTAATATTGTATCTCATTTCTTTTCTAATTAAAATAATTAAGTACAAGGTACTGATATAAATTGTTATTTGAAGGAGTGTGTTGGAAAATAACATAAAATAATTTTTTAAGCTTCAAATGAGAGAATAAAAAATTGATGAAAAGACTCAATTATAAGGGGATTTAAAAATATAGGAATAAAATTTACAATTTTTGAAATTATAGGAATTAATTAATTAATTTTGTTAAATTATAGCGATTAATTTATAATTTAATCAAGATTGGATCGTTGGAGTTGGTTTTATGTTTGTGTGATTGGATCCACGAGCTAGATTTTTTAGCCTTTTTTCTTCTCAATCTTTCTATTGGGCTTGCTACGTTGTCATTACAAATGGACAAAAATATTACTTAAAAAAAAATTGTGAGAATAAAGATTTGTATATATTTTTGGCTTTCTGTAGTTTTAAATTTTTCGAAGCGTCAATTTTGAAGTTCCCAGAAAGTTTTTAGTGTAGCACTTGATTATCGAATAACTAACAGAAACTAATAAAACGTTAGTCTATTCTTCACATTTTCTTTTTCATTTATTTTTCCTCTTTAAATCCATGCATAAGATAATTTTTTATAAATATTTAAAAAAGCTTCAAAACCATTTACGAGTTTACTTGATGGTTAAAAAATTGATTTTCTCTCTTTACCCACTGAAATTCAAATTTCAAATCATAATGTAAAAAGTAAATTTCTCATGAATATTTATATAGATAACCTATCTTTTACCGAAGATTGTAAGTGGAATGGTAAAAAAAGTGCTTCGAGTAGATTCAAAAAGTTCAATATTTAGGATCGATCAAAAGATAAATGTAATCCGACACCGACCTAATTTTAGAGTGAAAACTTAATCTCAATTAATATGAAACTTAACATTGAAATAACTCCCCACTTCTAATAATAATCATTAAAAAAAATTTAATTAAAAATCCAACTTGATTTTGGTACATGAAGATTAATATGATAACACTCAACTAAAATAAAACATAAAAACAATTCAAAAAGCTATAAAATGTTTCTTTTTATCATATAAAAATGCCACTTGGTACAATATTGTGATCCCTTTTGGCAAAAATTAAGATTAATATCATCGTCCGTTCTTTTATAATAGACTAATTTTTAATTCATTTCTAAAAAAAAATTCTAATATGTTCTTATGCTTTGAACTCGGGTTATAATCTATTATTTTAATTAAATTTCAGGTCAATTCATTCTAAATTAACTTTTATATTAGTAGATATAAATCATTTATGTCAAATTATATAATATGTGCAAATCGCATGGTTAATTTCCGATGAATTAACCGAAATCTTAACTAAAAGAATAGATCGAAACCAATTTAAAATATAAAAATACATTTGAGGTTTTTTATTTTGGTGACAAATTAAAAAATTGACTTATTATATATACACAAATAAGGTTATTAACCCTAAAAATTATGGACCATCTTGGAAGTTTTTGAAATCAGAAAAATGATTATATTGTAAATATTAACACTATAGGGACGAAATATACTTTGCCCAAATTCTAATAATTAAATTACTCGCGAAGAGCACGTGTTATATCGATATCCTTCCCCTCCCCCTCTCTCTCTCTCCACACAAAGAAAAACCAATAGATCGGAGGGGAAAAACAAAACCCGCAAATTATCTGATCACAAAAATGTCAAGCTCATGGTCGCAGGCACTCGTTAGGATCTCTCCTTACAATTTCGCCGCCGTTGGCATCGCCATCTCCATCGGTGTTTCCGTACTCGGCGCTGCCTGGTACGGCCGTGACTTGTTAATTTTGATGTGCGAAACCTGATGTTTTGCTAGTTAATTATATATCATGCGATTTGTGGTGTTTTTGATAGGGGGATTTATATAACTGGGAGTAGTTTAATTGGTGCTTCAATCAAGGCTCCTCGCATTACTTCTAAGAATCTCATCAGGTAATTGTTAACTACATAAACCCTAATTTTCGTTTATTTTTTAATTTTAATTTGATTTGTTTGTAAAGTTGTGGTATTTTGATTTTTTGTTTCAAGTTTAATTGTTGATTTTTCAGTGCTTTAATCTGATATTGTTGTGTTTTTTTTTGGTTGATGATTGATTGATTTTAGGATCTGTTTGTGTTACAAACTGATTGTTTGCATTTGTAGTGGGCTATAAGAAATGAATTGAAATTGACGAGTATTAGCTGCATTTGTCTAGTGGGAAAATTTGAAGGATGTAAGAAGGTTGGAGTGGGAGGTGACTTTTTGTTTTTTTTTTTTTTGTTTTATTGGATGGAGGAGGTGGGGAATTTGTGCTATGTATATTGCTCGTATGTGCCTTCCGTATTACTCTTGGGGGAGGGGGCAGACTTCTTTCGTGCTGGGTTGCAAAATCTCAGACTAGAGAATTGGTTTTCAGAGTCTTTCTAACGTGAGCTAATTAGAGAAAGTGTTCTTAAAACGTTTTTGGAATGGAAGAAATACCCTAGAAGGTTATTTTGGGAAATATCATGTTACTATATTATGCTAAGATGGCTTTAGGTGAATGTTTGCTGGTAGTCTTGCACAATTTGTATTTAGCCTCTTTTGAGTTTATGCTAGGTAGCTAGAGCATGTTAGTCCCTGTAAAAGATGAGAACTCTAACTGATTATTTTTATCCATTGAATTAGAAAGGTTAAGGAAGAGCATCAGGTTTAACATTGAAATGACAATTTTGCTGTTTTAGCTAGATTCTAAATGTTATTAGTTCAATTCATTACAATAGTCTTCAAGCCCCTTTGAGAGTGTGTCTCTGCATGCAGTGCTATCTCATTTCATGAATGAAACATCTTTTTTGTTATTAGAATCCTTCATAACTGGATTGTAGTTGCTCATGTAAAGTTCAAATTTTATGAAGTTTTGAGTTTTGTGCATCCATTCAGAATATTGTGACTGCAAATGTGCATTTATTCTGATTGGGAAGTTATGTAATATGATAATTTGAGTTCGAAACTTCTTTCAATACTGTATTAAATTTAGAATACAAATGATGCCTTCAAATAATGATTTGGTTCATATACTTTTTTTTTTTTTTTTGGTCAGTGTAATCTTTTGTGAGGCTGTTGCTATATATGGTGTTATTGTAGCAATTATTCTACAAACAAAACTAGAGAGCGTTCCAGTATCACAGATATATGCCCCTGAGTCTCTTGCAGCTGGATATGCAATTTTTGCCTCTGGGATCATTGTGGGCTTTGCAAACCTTGTCTGTGGGTTAGTATTATTCTTTCACTCGTATCTTCTAGTGAAATATCCTCTGTTTAAACTTGTATCTAGTTCTTCTTTGTAGTTATTATTTATGCTTTTTGCATTTTCTGTTACTGAGAACAGATTGTGCGTGGGTATAATTGGAAGCAGCTGTGCTCTGTCTGATGCGCAAAACTCATCTCTTTTTGTGAAGATTCTTGTGATTGAGATCTTTGGTAGTGCGCTCGGGTTGTTTGGAGTGATTGTTGGAATTATTATGTCAGCTCAAGCAACCTGGCCTGCAAGTTCAGCATAATTTGTTTTTCTTCTCGGAATGCAAAATATCAGTTATGATGGAGTCCAGTACATGCTGTGTAACCTAAATGAACTTTGTATTTTATTCATTCAATGGAAGTAGGCTTGTAAAAACTTGAGTGGAAATTTAATGGTGTCTCATCTAGTCTTTTAAGTTTTGTCCATTTGAAAATAAACTTTGGTGGAAGGCTCAAAGCATCATTGCCAATAGCAGGATGGACGTCAATATTCGGTGGCGTTTGATGTACACTGTACTTTTAGTAGTCTTTTGGGTGATATGAGTTGTTCCGAGTCGTGGAGGCCACTCGGTTATGGAATTTGCCTTGTAGAGTTGAAATGGAAGTGATTTTTCCAGCTGAGCAGCTTACAAATAAGAAAATCATCACCTTTTTCTGTCTTATTTATTTATTTATGCACAAGCACAATTTCTCTTGTCAATTAAGTGAACTCTCTTTTCACTTTTCTTGACAAGATGGCTCACTTTCTGTTTGTTCTATTTTAATTAACTTGTGTGCTAATAATGCCATTAAGATACCCTTAAGCAATGACAATTTTCGAGATATTGAAAGCGTTCTTTTTGCCACTAGCATGGAAGATAAAACCGCTAGCATTTGTTTTGTATGCTAACCATTGACTAAAATGTTTTTGAATTTGCCCTGGATTGATCAAGCTTGTTTTTAATGCTTGGTCAAAAACAGTGGCTTATGCACTGTAAAATTAGTTGCAAATTGCAAAAGACAGCACCCTCTTCTTGTGAATTGGAACTGCTAGATGCTTCATAATGTTCAACCCATCAATTTCACATTGCTTCATTCCCTTGGAACACAGTCCTTCTTGTTTTTGTATCATTGATAAATGAACCTATACAAATAATTCCAGCAAAAAAACTGGATTTGACTCGAGAAATAAATAAAGAGCATGTTTGTGTATCATAGATATATGAATCTAAACAAATAATTCCACCAAAAAAAATTATTTTTGGCTTGAGATATAAATAAGAGCAGAAGAACGCCAAGAGTTTTCTGCTGCAGAGAATGAGGTTCGTCTGAATAATGAGCATAACATTAATCAACTGACAAAGGAGCGCCAGCAAAGAAAGGCATATTTTTCTGCTGAAGCTCCTCACATTCCTCTGCATTTGCTGTCTTCGGATCGAAAAGCTTACGATCAGGAAGAGCTAAGCCTTGCTTGATTCGACCAAATCTTCGTGAATGCAGGACTTGTTTTGAAGTGACCGGCAGCCGAATGCGCTGATATTCTTCGAGAGCTGAAGGTATATTTTCTGCTCCCCACTTCTCAATACATTTGCCCAGAACGGCTGCATCCAAAATTGACATGTTTGTACTTCGGACGCCATGAGGAGTTGTAGGGTGAGCAGCATCTCCAATCAATACCACATTGTCCCAAAATATTTTCACGAGAGGTTCACAATCATATATGATATTTATGAAAGGCTCCTTTGTTTCTCTCATGACTCTCACCAATTCAGGAACCCAAATTTTCTCTGCTTCTTGGTACATATTTTCTATCATGTCACTGCTTACTTTCATGGTCACTGAATTTCCCTGAGAAAATTTTCATATAATAATATCAGCTCCAGCCTCTAGCAGGTTTAACTGCTGTAGAACATTATGAGAGTTCCAATATATCATCCAATTGGTAATGTTTCATACCACTCCCTATCCATTAGAAAATAAGGTCTAATTATCCCTAATCCATCTTCGAACTAACATTTTCACAGTTTGAAACTTGGACTATGGCCGGTTAAAGACAAAATTTATGAAGTTCAGGACATGGAAATGTTATGAATGGGGTGAGTGTAGACAATCACCTTCTGTTCAGGCTCAGGTTGATGGACATACCAAATCCAATTGAGCCTTTTGTTAAGAAGTTCGTAAAGCACAGTGTGACTTCCAGTGTTTAGATCGAAGTATAAGCATTTTCCAAGATCTGGGTACGCTCTTTGGATGCCCAAGATAGTTTCTGAATTCTCATTTCCTGAAAAATCAAGAACTCCTCTCCAAGCACAGTAACCTGAATACCTGCAGAACAAGTAACATTTGCCATTAACTGGTATAGATCGTAGCAGCAACACATTATCATGAAATACGAAAGGGTAATAGTAATCTGAACATACCTCAATTTCAGGTCAGGTAGAGAAGTATTTCGGATGGAAGAGAGGCATCCATCTGCTGCAACAAGCAAGTCCCCATTTATCTCAATAGTCTTTTCAGTTTGAAGAACTTTGGCCTCAACTTTAACACAGGTTTTGTCTTCAGAAGTGCCGAAAGAAAGGTACAAATGACCCCACAAGAACGCTTCCGCTGGTAGTGCATTGTACAAAAGACCATGAAGATCAGCCCAATGTGCAGCTCTGAAATTGAAATTCTCATCTCTTGTTAGTATCCTACTGACTTCCTTTTCTCCATCTGGAGTTTGGTTCTGTAGGGAAATAAAAACACCAAGAAGGAAAAGTTAATGGTGGCATTCAGTATTTATGCACAACTGAGGTGGCGTCCCACTCAGGATTTGATCCTTCGTTTTCTAAACACAAGAATTTGATCCTAAGATCAAGTAAGTTCGGATGACCCTCCTTCTCAGGATTCAATTCCTCTAAATCAAGTGAATTCTATCTCAGTTTATTGGCATAAGGTCAAATAACATTTTATTGCTAAACTTGAGATCAAATCTGTGAAACAATGATATATTCAAGAAAAGGGACTGATAATTTATGCAAACCTGATCAATTGTTAGAGGCAAGGTGGCCTCTTGGAGAAGCTGAGGTTGAGGGAGCCAGGACTCGATGATATCAATAGCCTGCCTGTCAAGTGCGAGGCCAGCACCAGTTGGGCTCCCTTTAGGAGGTTGGCTTGACTTCTCAAGAACCAAAACATCCCATCCTGCTGAAATAAGGGCATGGGCACATGATACCCCTGCTATGCTCCCTCCTACTATCACTGCCTTTGCTTTCTTCTTCTCTCCCATTTTCTTTTTTCTCTGTTCAGACTTTCTTTCTGGAGTTGGGTTATGTGGTGTGTATGGATGGTGCAGCTCCTGTGCTAAATGACAATATTGTATGATTAGCTCAAAAAAATCTAATGGCTGTCTCTGTCAACTTGTTAGTGAGTCATCAGTTATTATTTTACTTTAGAGTTTGGACTTGTATGCTAGTCTCATGTAGTCTGTAGATGCTTTGTTTTTGTTTTGTTTTGCTATTTTTGCATGTGTTTCGTCAGCGCAATCTCAAATTGTATTCTTTACTTCCCTAATTACAAGTTCAAGGGGCCAAAAATAAAAGAATGAAAAGATGGAATAGGACTGGAGTAGTTGGATTTATTATTCAATGAACTAATGAACTCCATTAATTAAGTATGTTTCTTAATAGTAGTAGGTAAATTTATTAGTTCACTAAATAAATTTGTTATTAGATTCTGCTAATACCAAAGCTAGCACCATTGCCATTTGTATGCTTACAATATTCTAACCAGAATGTTTCAGAACTTGCCCTGGACTGATAGACAGATTCTACAGGTTCATTATACACTGTAAAGTTATTTGTAACCGCTAAATGCTTTCGAATCACATCGCTATGCCTATACTCTTTGGAAACCATGAGTTTTAGGTAGTTTGTTTTCCAACATACATGAATCTGCACAGATAGTTGCAGCGAAAAAAATTTCGAGGTTTTAACAAAGAGAAGAATCAGAAGAAAAAACACTCTAAACCATTTTTGGCAGCAGAGATTTTGGCCTGTCTTTGATCAGAGGATCATAATATCAATCAACAGATAAAGGAGCACTAGCAAAGAATGGCATATTTTTCTGTTGAAGCTCTTCAAAATCTTCTGGACTTGCTGTCTTCAGATCAAAAGGCTTATGGTCAGGAAGAGCTAAGCCTTGTTTTATTCGACCCACTCGCCGAGAATGTAGGACTTGCTTTGAAGTGACTGGTAACCGAATATTCTGATATTCTTTGAGAGCTGAAGCTAAGTTTTCTGCTCCCCACTTCTTGATGCATTTGCCTAAGACTGCTGCATCTAAAATTGACATGTTTGTGCTTCTCACGCAATGAGGAGTTGTTGGATGAGCAGCATCTCCGATTAATACCACATTGTACCAAAAGATATGTTCTAGAGGATCACAATCATATATGACGTTCATGAAAGGTTCCTTGGTATCTTTTACGGCTTTCGCCAATTCAGGAACACAGACTTTCTCTGCTTCTTGGTGCATATTCTTTATCATGTCACTGCTTACTTTCACGGTCACAGAATTTCTCTGTACATGCATTTCAAGTAATAAGTATAGTTGTTCCTTTAGGACATGTACATCTTCAAATGGATCGTGTAGTATTATGAAGTAGAACATGAAAATCTCAGAAATGGGATAAGTAGGGAATCACCTTCAAGTCAGGCTCTGGTTGATGGACATACCAAATCCAATTAAGCCTTTCGCCGATAAGTTCATAAAACACGCTGTGAGCCTTAGCACTTAGATCAAAGTATAAGCATTTCCCAAGATCTGGGTATGCTTTTCGGATGCACGAGATAGTTTCTGAACTCTCATTTCCTGAAAATTCAAGAACTCCTCTCCAAGCACAGTAACCTGAATACCTACAGAACAATTAATCCTATCATTGCATATAAATGTCATCAGGAAATACAAAGACTAACAGTAATCTCCTGTTTTGACAGCTGCAAACCTCAATTTCAAGTCAGGTAGAAAAGTCTTTCGGATTGAAGAGAGGCATCCATCCGCTGCAACAAGCAAATCCCCATTTATCTCAATGGACTCTTCTGTTTGAAGGACTTTGGCCTTAACATTGACAGTGGCTTTGTCTTCAGAAATGCAGAAAGAAAGATACTTATGACCCCAAAAAAATATCTCTGGAGGTAGTGCATCATATAAAAGGCCATGGAGATCAGCCCAATGTGCTGCTCTGAAATTGAAGTTCTCATCTCTTGTCAATATCCTACTGCCCTTCCCTCCTCCAACTTTTGTTTGGTTCTGTGAAATCCCAACAAAGTAAAATCAGTGGCAGAAAGTTCAGCTTTAACAAGTGATCTAACTAGCTCCCGCAAGCGATTACAGGAGGCAAAATTGTGAAAATGAAAGTAACACAAAAAGGGGACTGATAACTTATGCGAACCTGATCAATTGTGAGAGGCAAGGTAATCTCTTGGAGAAGCTGAGGTTTAGGGAGCCAGGACTCGATAATCTGCAATGTCTGATTGTCAAGTCCAACTCCTGCACCGGTCGGACTTCCCTTAGGAGGTGCACTTGATTTCTCAAGCACCAAAACATCCCATCCTGCTGAAATGAGGGCATGTGCGCATGATAGCCCTGCTATGCTACCTCCTACTATTATGGCCTTCGCTTTCCTTTTCTCCTCGCTCATTTTCTCTCTCAGATCAGACATTCACTCTGCAATTAGGCTGTTTGAATGTTTGTGGTGTGTGTGGATGGTGTAGTTCATAGCTAAATGACAAATAGTATTTGATTATCGAGAAGAATCAAATGGTTGTCTATGTCAACTTGTTAGAATCACCACCTTTTATTTATTTATTTATTTTATGTTCTTTGGACTTGCATGCTTGTCTCAAGTCTAAACAGACAGATACTTCTGTGTCTTCTACCGTTTTATGAGCAAGCCTCTAGTTTTTTTTTTTTTTTTTTCCTTGTAACAATTTCTCAACAAATAATAAATAAATAAATAAATAACAATCCAATCAGAACATAGTTTCAGTACTGGAAACTAATCCGATCTTGATTGGGATTTAGCGGTCTCAATTGATAGAAAAGTCTAATTGCATTTTCATAGTCCTACACTGACAATAAAACTAAAATCTTTGAAGTGTTCACTGAATTCTTTCTTATTTCAGCACTTTTCACCTAGAGTTACTGTCAGTGTTCATTAATGACGTTAGTGTGATTTTCAAGTTTCTTTTCATACATTTAATATTCAAATTTGAACAAATATTATATTTGGTCTCTTATTTTTGTCAAAAAATTTGTTTCCATTCCTAACTTTATATATATATATATATATATAATTAGTCTCTTAATATTGAGAGAAGAGAGAAAGAAAGAGAAAAAATTATGATAAAGATCATTCTAGCTACTTTAATTTAATGGTCAATTTTGACTTCAATGTGTTTATCTTAATAAAAAAAAAGTTTGTTTATAATGATACTAAGTTATAATATGATCGAAAGATCGAAAGAGATTGATTGAGATGCTAATACATTTATGAGTTTTTGAATTTTTATATTTTTAAGCATATTAAAATGAATTTGAAGGTTACAAATAATTTTTCTGAGCTTATTTTTAGTGATTTTGAGAAAAAAAAAAAACTTAAAATTGGATTTGGAAAGTCAGAAACTATTACTCCTGATTTTTTTACTCTTTTTTTTAACAAAACATAGTCAGGCAGAAATCAGAGAAAGATGACAAGTGGTCTATTTCGTAAGACAAAAGTGACCCATCGTCTAATTTTTATTTTTATTTTTTAATATAAGTGACTAGTACACGTGTGTCCAGTCCATGTACGAGCATGCCTGGTTCTCCAGGCCCAAGGATACAAGGTAGCCCTTTTTTTAATTACATGCATATATTTTTTTAGACTTTAGACTAAACATATATTTTAAATTATATTATTTATATTTTTAAAAATTTTTTTTAATTATTTATTTTTTTATATAAATTCTCATCCAATTAATTTTTTTATAAAATTTTATTTTTTAACAAATATGATTTATTTTTCTCTATATTTAAATTTTAGAATAATTTTTCCGAGCTTATTTTTAGTGATTTGAGGAAAAAAAATTAAAATTGGATTTGGAAAGTCGAAACTATTACTCCCGATTTTTTTACGTTTTTTTTTAACAAAACATAGTCGGGCGTAAATCGAAGAAAGATGACAAGTGGTCTATTTCGTCGAGCAAAAGTGACCCATCGTCTAATTTTTATTTTCATTTTTTAATATAAGTGACTAATACACGTGTGTCCAGTCCATGTACGAGCAAGCCTCGGTTCTCCAGTGCCCAAGGGTACAAGGTAGCCTTTTTTTTAATTACATGCATATATTTTTTTAGACTTTAGACTAAACATATATTTTAAATTATATTATTTATATTTTTAATTAATTATTTTTTTATATAAATTCTCATCCAATTAATTTTTTTATAAAATTTTATTTTTTAACAAATATGATTTATTTTTCTCTATATTTAAATTTTAGAATAATTTTTTCGAGCTTATTTTTAGTGATTTTGAGGGAAAAAAAAACTTAAAATTGGATTTGGAAAGTCGAAACTATTACTCCCGATTTTTTTATGTTTTTTTTTTCGCAAAACATAGTCGGCGTAAATCGGAGAAAGATGACAAGTGGTCTATTTCGTCGAGCAAAAGTGACCCATGGTCTAATTTTTATTTTCATTTTTTAATATAAGTGATTAGTACACGTGTGTCCAGTCCATGTACGAGCATGCCCGGTTCTCCGAGCCCAAGGGTACAAGGTAGCCCTTTTTTTAATTACATGCATATATTTTTTTAGACTTTAGACTAAACATATTTTTTAAATTATATTATTTATATTTTTAAAATTTATTTTTCTTTAATTAATTATTTTTTATATAAATTTTCATCCAATTAATTTTTTTATAAAATTTTATTTTTTAACAAATATGATTTATTTTTCTCTATATTTAAATTTTGAAATAATTTTTCTAAGCTTATTTTTAGTGATTTTGAGGGGGAAAAAAAACTTAAAATTGGATTTGGAAAGTCGAAACTATTACTCCCGATTTTTTTACGGTTTTTTTTTTAGCAAAACATAGTCAAGCGTAAATCGGAGAAAGATGACGAGTGGTCTATTTCGTCGAGAAAAAGTGACCCATCGTTTAATTTTTATTTTCATTTTTTAATATAAGTGACTTGTACACGTGTGTCCGATCCATGTACGAGCAAGCCTAATTCTCCGGGCCCAAGGGTACAAGGTAGCCCTTTTTTTAATTACATGCATATATTTTTTTAGACTTTAGACTAAACATATATTTTAAATTATATTATTTATATTTTTAAAATTTATTTTTCTTTAATTAATTATTTTTTTATATAAATTCTCATCCAATTAATTTTTTTATAAAATTTTATTTTTTAACAAATATGATTTATTTTTCTCTATATTTAAATTTTGGAATAATTGTTTTAGGAACATATATATATATAAACTCATGCTAATCTCATTTAAAAATATAATTGAAAGGTTGAAGAGTATGTTGTAGATGGTTTATCTCAAATTTTTTTTAAAAAAATAATGATAGGCATGTGCACAATGACTAGGCATGCATGGCCTAGAAACAAAAATATATTTTAAGAAGAAAAAAATTCATGTGTTTCATTTTATATATATACAATCAAAATTTATTAAAATTAATTTTATAGTAGTTTTTATTTATGCTATTAAATTTAAATTTATTCAATATATTTTCTACAAGTTAATTTTTTTTATGTTTTTTATTTTATGTTACGGACTTTAAATCCGCTCAATATAATCATTGTGTATAATTAAAAAAAAACTAAATTATTGATTTTATTAAAAATTGATTATCCATCCACAAACATAACACGAATTATTTACTATTTATTTATTGAATATTTTTGAAATCAATTTCCATCGAATAAAATAATTAAAATAATATTTAAAAAAACTCACTTGACGATACTATACTCTCAAAACAGAGTTTTGTATACTATTATTATTGATTATTTTGTAAATATATATAACCCTAATGTATATAATTTTTTTAAAAAAAAATCATCAATTCAACAATAAAGAATAAATAAAAACTTAATTGATAATTTTTTATTAATATTTGTTTTGATTAATTTTTTAAAATTAATATAAATTTTTATTTAAAAATTTATATATAAAGAATAATAAATCATGGTTTTTTGAAGAGGAAATTCATGAAAAACATAAAAGAATTAATTAAATATAGAATTTTGATTAAAAAAATCTGAAAATTGAGCCATAAATATTTTTTACATTTAATTGGATAAGTTTTGTCAATAAAATATTTTTGCTTGATTTGCAGTGCAGAAGGGACAAGAAACCAGTCGAAACTGAAACTTAATAATGTTCCAGCATTGGGTCTTAGTGGTAGACCAATAGAGCCCAGTGGACTTTCAAAATTTTCTCGCTAACCAAACAGAAATTCAAACGAATCAACTAGAAAATCACTGCTTGTCAAAGAAAGAGACAAACCCCAAGTCACAAGCAGCATTATATACCCCATATTACAAATCTTTGGAGTTTTGCATCTTTTGGGTTTGGTTAGAAATCTAAAATGGGGGCAGGGCGTGGAGTATCAATATCCCTAGATGGAGTAAGAGACAAGAACGTGATGCAGCTTAAGAAGCTAAACACTGTTCTCTTTCCTGTTCGTTATAATGACAAATATTACGCTGATGCCCTTGCTTCTGGCGATTTCACCAAGCTAGGTTCGTTTCCCCCTCTCTTTCTCATATCTGTGTCTATTCTTTTTGGTGTCTTTTGCTATTGTTATTGACTTGGTGAAATGGGTTATGGGTTTTTTTTTTTTTTTTTTTTTTTTTGGTTTTTCTGTAATGGGTTTGTTGTTTTGGATTTGCTTGTTGATTTTTTGGGTGTTTCTGGGTTTTTTTTTAAAAAAATTGTAGAATTGTTTTTGTTTCTTAAAATGTTGTATGAATGCCAAATTCTAATGAACTGGTCCTGATTGTGATTATTTGCTGTTGGATTTAAGAGTACAAAGTGTTGATGCTTTTAATTTCTTCTTCTGCCAATAAAGGGAAGTTCCGGGTAATCCGAAGCCTGGTGTTTGTGTTTGTTCTAGTTCTAGTTACATGCTTTTGATTATTTGATAGTGTTCACCATTTTAATATATGTGAAATTCGAACGACAAGAATTAAAGGAACAACCCAATTCGAGAGACCTGCGTGCTAGCTTCGATATTTTGCTCTTTCAATTTCCTTCGCCTGTTATTTTCTTCTTGACCAACTTGGCATCAGTGTGTTCGTGCATATATATTTGTTCTCAAATAAGTCAACCTGCCTTTCTTTTTGCAATCTCTGGGTAATTGTTGCACTGTTGCACTTGGGAAGTAACCATATTATATTTGTTGCTCTCGTTCTTATATTCATTTGTGGGTTTTGTAGGTTCAAAATGTTTTTTTTTTTTTTTTGTCAAAATCTGTTTTCCATTTTTTGGGAATAGCTGCTTATCATCTCAAGATTGATAAATTCATTTTCCAAACATTTATTTTCTATGTTGGAGTATCCCAACTTTTCCTCTTTTTTGAATGGTTGTTTAACTTCATATCTATTTCCTTTGGGGAAAATGTTTATATTTAGGATTGACAATTCAGCTTTGTTAAACACAAATTAACAATTCTTGTGGTTTTGATTATTTCTTCTTAATTTGATCACAGATATCCTGTTTTTTAACAAATATTTTCAATGATATATATTCCTGAATTTTGTTGATTGAAATAGCAAGTGTCTTTGGTCAAAGAAAAAAATAACAAGTCTTTCTTTTCTTTTCTTTTCTTTTCTTTTTTTTTTTTATCTTGCATTGCTTCATAGTTTCTTGGTATCCTGATGTTTTGAATAGATCATCAATTCCTGAATTCCAGTGCATGGAATATTTGTTAATTTTGTGAATATCATTGTCTTTGAGTGGGAGACAGTTTTGTGCTAAGAGGTGGGTCTTTATCTGTTCATCTATAGAAATTCCATGTTGTGAAATTCGATTTGTTATCAGTTGGAAAAGTCTTGTATTTTTTCATAATGAGATACATTTTAAAGCCATCTATTTCGCAATAAATGGATAACTATTGAATGAGATTTCTCATTTAGTAATGGAGTTTGAGCAATTGTAGAATATGTCTGTGTTATGGATCCATTATGGACATCTAAATGCATGCTGTTTAGAATAAAATTTCAGTGCTTGCAATTAGTTGTTCCTCCATCTTTTATCAACTTTTGTACCACACAGATGAGTGAAAATGCTGTATACATATCATTGGCACTGGTCACCTCATCTCAGTGTATATGATGCTGGAGTGCAGCATTTCATGAAAAGTCAGTTGTATTAAAACTTTGTTATTGTTCTTTCAGCATATTACAGTGACATCTGTGTCGGTGCAATTGCATGCCGTCTGGAGAAGAAAGAAGGTGGAGCCCTCCGCGTTTACATCATGACATTAGGTGTTTTGGCACCATATCGGGGCCTAGGCATTGGTGAGTAGAGAACTTATCTTCCTGGTAGATTTCTATGCTTTTTTAATTATGAACTTAATCCCTGTACAAAAATCATGTTTGTTAATTCAGAGAATATACTATGCTCAATTAAATGTGCCAAGAAGATAAGGCAAAATCTACTCCTTGCTCCTAACGAGTTATTGCTAAAAACATCTTTGACTTCCTTTATTTATTTGTTTGCTCACTGCCTTCTTGTTCCTGATTCCCTTGTGGCCTTATAGGTTTTGCAAACCCTTAGCAGTGGAGTCACTATCCATAAGTATTACGAACATGTGTTGTAGTTTACATTTATTAAATAGTTGGAATCCCTTTGGTGAAAAGTCCTCTGGTTCTTGGATTTGTTCCTTTGAAGCCTGAAAAAGAGCAAAGATTTGTGAGGGAAAGTTTTGGCATGTGCATTTACTGATCAAATTTGTGTGATTGTGCAGGTACAAAGCTGTTGAATCATGTTCTTGATCTCTGCTCGAAGCAACATATTTCTGAGATTTACTTGCACGTGCAGACAAACAATGAATATGCTATCAACTTCTACAAGAAATTTGGATTTGAAATCACAGACACCATCCAGAACTATTACACAAACATTACCCCGACCGACTGCTATCTTCTTACAAAATTCATCACTGAAACAAAGAAATAGTGTCACAGAGCTAGAAGTTAAGTTGAGAGTTCACTTTTTTCCTATTTATTGAACTTCACCTTGGTTCGTTGTCATCAGTATCAGATACTGATATTGAGGTTCCATAGATACTATTGTGAAATGATTGGTTAAAAATTCACTTGCTAAAATCCATAAACCTAGTCGGTATGGTTCTGAACAGTTATACAAACATTTTTGTAGTCTTGTATTTCTTTGAGGTTCCAAGAGTCTGGCAGTTTTATAAGATTCTGATTGCTGTCTTTCAGACGGATCAGAGAACCAATTATCGAACTCGTGGTTTCATGCTGTTATCTTTTTACCATTACTTGGCAGCTGGTCTTGCCGTTGCATTTGCATGTTCTGTTCAAGAAGAAACACATTTATAATTTTTTTCTCCTTTCTTTCTTGTGCGTTCATTTTGAAATCCAAGCCATCTGAAAATTAACACGACTGATTCAAAAACAAGGTGTTGTTGGCAATCCATGCTTTTTGAAAGTCACAGGCTTATCAAAAGGCAGACAGTCCAGGCATTGCATTGCTTCATATAATCCATAGAAGAGTTTCTCCAAGGTAGACAAGTTACAGGCATCGCATTGCTTCACAAGATAAATACAAGACTTCCCGTATTAGAACCAGGCTCGACCTAAGTATGGACGCACATGGAGAAGCAACCAAGGAGTACAATTATCTTTTATTCTGTAGAGCTTTTATATACAGCTTTAATTTCCAAAAGCCAGTCGAGCTTATCATGACGAACATGACAGTAATTATTACAATATGTACATCATTCCAAGGTTTGGAAGCAGGGGAAAAATGCAGTGCTTCATCATCAGGGAAAGCAGTACTTTCGTCAGTCCAACCATATTGAATCAGTGTTTGCTGTTTAGTAGGCCAAACCACCAGCTAAAGCATCTCCGTCATGAAGAAGAGACTCTGTCAGCCAATAACCATCCCATGAACCACCGACTCTCTGCCAATAACACCCCACAAACATATTAACAGAGTTGGTATGACTATAGGGAGGGCATTAAAGTTCTACAGTATTATTCTAAAGTAAAATGACCGAATGAAATCATTAATCTTAAACCCCCACAGTTTTTCTGAATTGCAAGCTAGCAAGATAAGCAAAATGAACTAGCATCATCTTGTTCAATAAGCGTCCTAAGACTTTCGCATCCAAAAATAGGTCACTGGATTAGCAATCAACCTGATGACCAGTCCCCGAATAGAGCATGGCTTCGGAACAAGAGAATCAGATCTAAGAATTCAAACCAGTTACAATTTTCGGATCTGCAACTTGATTGAACGAGCATAACATCGAGGAACTTGCGTTTGACTATGTAAAAATGAGTCTCAAACTTCTATTGCAGAACATTGTGATTATATCTACGATGATTCTAAGAGCTCCCCTCAGTAAGATATAGTCTAACCATCACTAATAAAATCCTCCAGTACAGATTTTTCAGAACTACTGACAGAGTACCACCCTCAGTCAACGCAACCTTAGATGGAAACATTGTAAAAGATAACCATGATCATCATTTTTCTATGCAGGTGAGATGAATCTGCAAAAGGTACAGTTACCTGAACCATGGTAAATTGAAATATTTCTTCCTCCTCAGGCCGATTCCCTCGAATCCATATCCTCTGTTTGAATCGATTCTGTTCCATCCATAACACACAAACAGATAACATATACAGTAGAAGTGAGAAAATTTGTAATATTTAGGAGAATCCACGACTCGTAATTGACAAAAAATCCTCTTTGGCCACCACTTATGCATCCATTAGTGAACTCACTCAAGCTCATTTGTTTGTCGAGCAACAAACTGATTCAACAAATTAATTAAATTAAAAATCTTACCTCTTCCACGAACAAACTGCTCAAGATCTTCCTCTCCTTGTGACCAAGCAACACTCGATATGTCGAATGGTGAAAAATCCTCCTAAACCTTTCAAACTGCAATAACGTTGAGTTGGCCAACCCAAAAGAAAGGTATTAACTAACACTTACAACATCAAAAGCGCACACACAAAAAGATTTAAAAGGGTTCTAAATAGAATTCACTGACCTGCCCCAAATCAAAAAATGGTCCAAAATAAGTTGACCTTTCGAAAGGATCAAATCCAGCAAACTATCAACAGTAAAAAATACAACAATAATTATATTAGCCAAAAATTTCTACACCGCATAGCTAAACGCCCAAAACTTCAAAAATGATAAAAATCAACATGGTTTGTGCCTAAAATTTACCCTATACATAACCTCAATCCCATAATCCTGACGAGGTTGATCGTTATACTTCAATGCATCAAGCTGGCATTTAACAGCCTCTTCTGCACTAAACTATAACAAGAGTTAAACTAAATTTGACATGCTTTAGACAAGCAAATGTAAATAATTTTGCTCATTTTTATGGTCAGAAAGTTACATTTAATCTTGGGCCAAATGGTTTCTTCCTTCGAGATTCAAGCCTGTATCCATCATAATTAAACCCCCCCAAAAAAAGGTTTGAAGGGAATTAAATTTGATAATTCCACAAAAAAAAAAAAATTTGAGAGAAAGTGAGGAATTTTGCATACCAATCTGCAGAGAGAAAATCAGGGACGTCAGCAGAAGCTCTAAAGCGAGAGCCCAGTTTGTAGTCTCCTCCATTGATAATGGGCTTGGTTTTAGATAAGAGAGACAGAGACTGTGGGGTTGCTATAGACGAACAAAACGACATCGTTGGAACTCTGGAACTGTCGTATGTTGTCTTCTCTGTCTCTGTTTGTTGATTGACAACGGAAGTGTGCTCAGTGATTGTTTTGCGAATGATGAGGTCTGATTTGGTCTTCACCGTTTGATGGATTAGAAGTATAAGTATCAGGCGGTTGAAACGGTTGGAAAAAGGATTAACTATAAATCAGTCCCCATTTTTCATATTGAATTCAAATTGGATCCTAAACTCTTGAAATGAAATAATTCAATCCCCAATGACTAAAGTACTATTAATACTCAACTTTGATCCATGCTGTCACATTACACTTAACAATATTTAATATAAAATAAAAATTGATTTAAACTTTCTTTTGGCAACAAAAATAAATAATTTTTTAGCCATTTTTTGTTCTTTTTAGTTTTTTATGTGTTGTACTTTTTTTTAAAAAAAAAACAACATCCCTAAATATGGGTATTTTTGTTATTACTCTATATTTGAATTATATATTTATTCTACCACACAAAAAAGAAAGTAAATTATAAATAATCTATTGTGACGTTCAAGCATAATAATTAACATTTTTTAAAAATATAATTTTAATTACATACTAATACAATTTTGTTATGATGTCTCAATAAAATTAATAGATATGATCAAATTTTGCTTGTATCAAGAATATTGGATAAAAAAATAAATTAATCTTATTATACAATTTATTTTTTTGGTTTTAACAATTAAAGTATTTTCGTATATTGAAACTAAATCCACATTCGATAGGATTTGATGCAAACCATCCACTTTTTTGGGTTGATGTATTTATGAATTTTTTTTCGTAGTCTATCCCAAGATTCATACACGAAATAATAAAGTAAGTGGCAAGGCGTAGGATTGTAAGATTAAATAGTCGGGGTCCTGATTTGTAGTTAATATTTACAGACACGTGCACGTTCAAAATGAGCACGTGACATCATCTTATGGTCGCGCGACTAATCGAACACTCTCTTCTCACAGTGACAATCGCGCTGTCCATGAAGCGCTCTGCTCCTCCTCTCCAATTCCTCGCCGCCGCTATCTCCGCCGAATCCGCCTCCATGTCTTCTCGCCGCCCTCCTGTACTCCCTCTCCCTCTCAAAAATATGTTGGAAAGTTAGTTACTTGATTGTCTTCACTAATTTTAACCGTTTTTCATCGCAGTACCGTGGCAGTAATAGCAGAAATCAATGGGGAAGAAGAACCTTCTCGAACCGCCCGAACACAGAAGACTCCAATTCAGGGTTCCCCCACGGAGAAGCAAACCAGAACTTCACTCCACGGCCGTCGCCACCACCTCCAACGCGTTACTATCAAAATCAACAATTCCGCCAGCCACCACCTCCACCGCGTTACTATCAAAATCAACAATTCCGCCAGCTACCACCTCCACCGCGTTACTATCAAAATCAACAATTCCGCCAACCACCAACACAACAACCTTCCGATCAAAATCATCACTTCCGGCAATATTCGCCGTTCAATCAGAATCAAAATCGACAGTTGTTCAACCAGAATTACAGGCCGCAGAGGCCTGCTAAGCCATTGGATTATAGGAACTGGGAGTATGCCAAAACGGCTCCACCTCGTGATTCTGACAAATTTATTGTCCTTTCTTATAATATATTAGCTGATTATCTAGCAATTAATCACCGGAGCAAACTTTATTATCATATACCGCGGCATATGTTAGATTGGGAACGGAGAAAGAGGAATATAATTTTCGAGCTCGGTTTATGGTCTGCTGATATATTGTGCTTTCAGGTTAATTAATATTAATCCAGTTTAGTTTTCTTAATTTCTATCGTTTGGTTTCTGTAATAATAGAGCTTATTCATTCATTTATTTTATTTATTTCTGTTCGTTGGTTTTGATTGGTTGTAACTGTTTCAGGAGGTTGATAGGTTTGGAGACTTGGAAAAGGAGTTGAAGGTCCGGGGATATAATGGAATTTGGAAGGTGTGTTTTTGCAAGGCATTAGTTACTTAATTTATGAAATGTGGAAATGTGCGGTTTGGCTGATTGTTTTTGTGAGCTTGTTTTTGTTTAGATACACGAAGGAGTTTGTTTTATGTATTGGTATCTGCATTGTGAATTGTTATGTTTTGTTTTGACTTTATAAGGTATTGATTGGAGTTAAAGTGTGTTAATTGAGCTTAAAAGATATGAAGAAATGTCGAGTGAGAGAAAAAGAAGGAACCAACATCTTCGTTGCTCAAACTGGCAATTCTATTTCACATTATTTCTATATTACTAGATTTATGTTTACAATTTTCCAGTTTCATGTGATGGCTGACAATGATGTTTGCCATTTTATTTTCCTTTCTTTAATAGGACACATGTGACGTTTGACTGTAAATGGTACATCTTTATGATTTGTAAATCTCATGTGCGACAGGTTAATCATTAATACCCTGAGAAATTGAATTAGATATTGCCGAGCCATTGTTGGATAGTTACTCAGTTTGTCCAAAAAATGTTACGATACGTTTCTCTTATGAAGTTGTGTCTGACAAAGTTCTCTTGTACATATAGATGCGGACTGGTAATGCAGTTGATGGTTGTGCAGTCTTTTGGAGAATATCAAGGTAAATCCAGCTAGTTTTTAGTGGCCATTGATCTGTGGTATTCACAGGTTCTATTAATGATACTGCTTGTTGATAAATTATCATGTCCATACCTGCATAATGCAAATTACTTGAGATGGTTTTGTGTCCTTGCTATTGTCTTATCCACTTGCTGCACTGAGGGGTTTTCAATGTCAGTCATTTCAGTCAACTTTCCTTGAGCTTCCTTCTTCTGATAGTCCTCCTTATGACGTTAAAAGTCATCCTTCTTCTGTTGCGCTTCTGTGGTGCCATTTCTTTGCCATTTAGCTAGTGCGCCTTCTTACTTGGTTATGAGCAAGCGCCAAATGCTCACAAGTTGCATCATGAAACTGGCCTGCAATATTTTACGGTATGGAATTTCTCCCTTTGGTGGCCCGGCCCTCTCTAGGCTAGGCTTCTCGAGCACATTGCCATACTGCTGCTACCTTTTCATAAACATGTCTCTCACTGGCTTCATCAACGCTAGCATGCAACACAACAGTTGGCATACAGAAGTCCAATCAGGTGTGAGAAACAAAAAGCTCTATACTTTGTGGTCTTTGAGTGCGCCAAAGTTCAAAAAGATGAATCCATGGGCTGTCACTCCCTGCATAACATGAGAATATGAGATGATTAATGTTCTCTTTAGCTTCTCTAAAGAAATTCCAATTTGAATTACCCTAAGTGTATGCATATTTAGTACTTCTTATTGTCTTGTTTGTGTACCACTTTATTTCTTTGAGACGGTTCATTTCAAGTTTAGCTTCTATAATAGGGGAAAGGTATATGAAAATTCATTACTTTCATTTGTTGATTCTGTTTCCTTCCTTTTCTTTTTGAGGTAATCAATTGTTTGGGTGTTTAAGTTTGCTCTATTCTTTGGCTCTTTTTCCAAGATTTTATAAATTATATTTGATGATTCATCTTGATAGAATGAAGAAAATATCATTTGGTAATGTTGTCTAAGACCCCAACTAGTTTGGGATTAAGGTTTTGTTGTTTATGTTAGGTTCAAGTTGGTCTATGAAGAACCCATCGAGTTCAATAAGCATGGACTTCGGGATAATGTTGCTCAGATATGTGTGCTAGAGGTATCATGTCTTCATATCTTGGAAACTTCACAGGATCAGCAACTTCAACTTTGATTTATTTTCTCACCTTGATTCTTTGATTATTTTTCCTTGAATAAGTTAGTTAATGTGGCTTTCATGTTAACTAGTCGGTTTTTCTTTTCTTGTAGCAGTTAATAAGACCAGATAACCCTGCAGACCCATCAACTCTATCTACGAGGTATTGTTTTGGCAAATTTGGTCTGAGAAATTTAAAACATTATGATAAATATGCAAAAATAACTGGAGAAAAAGTTAAAACTTCAGAATTTTTCTACAAAATTTCTAAGGTTCAATAAAAAATAGTAAGTCCTTTCCTTGTTGTTGATATGAACTCCTTACTTTGTAGGTTTATAGTAGCTATGCAGAAAGCATCTAGAGATAGTGCTTGGCCTTTTTACCTTTTCTGGTCCCATAAATTTTTATTTTATTTTATTATCACGCAGAATTTAATTTTTATCCAGTGAACCTTGCACATTACATTGGTTCAGGCCAGTTTTATCTTGTCTGGCCAATATTGCCGTATAAGAGAACTGTCTTCCTGGGTGGAATATCTTTGAAGGATATCTTTCCCCACAAACTTTGTTTCACTACGGCCCAAAACTCTTTAACTACTTGAACAAGGAAGGCAGGGGGTGGTATCGTATATAAGAGAACAGCTGCATTCCACGTAGCTGCTGAGTGAGATAGAAAGCTTTCACTTAGCTCTCGCGCTGTGAACGTCACTCATAAGGCCGACATGGAGCCATGCACCTGATTCTAGTTATCCTCGCCCAAGCAGTCTTATTCCTTGTTAGTATTCTCTTTGAATTGATAACCCCCATCCTCCTTGTAGCACTAGTTCAGATGTACTGAAGGTCCCAAATATAATATGCATTTGAACATCTGGTAATAATTTCAAAAGTTATACATAAAAATCTTATTAACCGATGTGGCAAGCGATGAATGATGTAATAAGTGTTTTACTCGCCTTATAAATGACCTATAAATCCATTGCATTAAATGTTATTAGTGCTAGTGAGTTTTTTTATGACAATTTTTCTGTTTGTAAATTCTTACTCATTTGTCATTAGATCTTTGCAGTTTTTGTTTCCAACACAGTAATGTATGCTTTTTGTTTAGGGTTTCTTGCTCATTCTGTATCCACTTCTTGTGGTTATTGAAACATATGTTCAATCTTGTATCTCTTTGGTTTATTCTAAAATAAAAGTCACTATTCTGTATTTGCAGCTCAACCAGTTCTAATAAAGTTCTCATATGTAACATTCATGTGCTTTACAATCCCAAAAGAGGAGAAATTAAGCTTGGTCAGGTATTTACCATTTGTAGAGTTGTCCATACAGTTTTTTTAATTCCCATATCTTTTGATATGTACTCTCTCCCTGTTTCAAAGAGTGCCCTTTTCTTTGTGGCCTATCACAAAGCATGTCCATTATCAAAGAAGCAAAGCATTAATTCATTTACTTTCCTATAACTTCCCCATTCCCATAGAGAACAAAGCATTAATTCATTTACTTTAAAGCGTTACTCTTTTGATATGTACTCTCTCCTTCTCTCAAAGAGTGCCCTTTTCGTTGTGGCCTATTACAAAGCATGTCCATTATCAAAGAAACAAAGCATTGATTCATTTACTTTCCTATAACTTCCCAGTTCCCATTAAAAACCAACTAATATTATTTCTTCTGGCTTTGCAAGTATAATTAGAAGTTTCATTTTGATTTAATATAAATATGAGGTGGCTTAGTATTCATTGACCATCATTGATGTGTGTATAGATTGGGATGGAGGGAGTATATTTTGCTGGTTTGGTAATTGGTTTGCTCTATTGTCACATTTATATAGCTCAAATGGAAATTCTGTTTTGATATTTGCTTATAATTTTTAGCTTTTATATGGCAGTTGAAAGACATGAATGTGTTAAGTTAGGTCTGTAACTGGCATGCCTTTCCTAGCAGGTCAGGATGCTCCTAGATCGAGCTCATGCTGTTTCAAAAACTTGGAATGATGCCCCAGTTGTTCTTTGCGGTGATTTTAATTGTACTCCAAAGGTCACTTCTAGTTCAGCATTTCTTAAATGGCGCAGATTTGTTGTGGTTGATCTTTTATGTCATGTTTGAGTGTCTTTGTGTAATAATTATTATGACTGTGATGTTTGTGCTTTTGCATCAGAGTCCATTATACAACTTCATTTCAGAACAGAAGGTATCTTTCTGTTCTTTCTTCATCTGCTTTCATGGTAGATGATTGATAAACGGCAAACAACATGTTAATTTCATTGGTGTCCTGCAGTTAGATTTCTCTGGAGTTGATAGAGATAAAGTATCAGGACAAGCTTCTGCTGAAATACGCACTTCTAGGCCATATAATTCTGGTCGTAATCCTAATGCTAGTCCTGGGTAAGTTTCCACATGTCAACTTATTTATTGTAGCCTCTGATGTTTCTGTGAACTTCTGACCATTGAACCGAAGAAAGCCTGCAAACTATTGCAGGAGCAGAACTCAGTCCTCTGATAACCCAGTTCAAGCTCCATTAATGGTAGATAGCAAGCAGAGTGATTCTCTGCCAGACATGCAGAAGCAGAATAATCAACCTGAAAGTTTGGAGAGTATTCCTTCTTTTAATGACTACTCTCGGCCTCAACATGCAAGAATTGCACAGGATGCTTTGGATGTGGGCGTACATATTGAACTGCATGTTGAAGAGACGAAAGAAATTCTGCAGAAAGCAGTAGAGCAAAGTTCAACAATATTTCACGGTGAGGGCAAGTTACCTGTTGACCAAATGAGTGATGAGATGCACAAATCAACTCCTCCGCTGACCTCCCATCCTAAAGATGCCTACTCTGATGAGAGGGAACAAAGAGGAGAAGAAAATTCTGCTTCTCCTCTTAATCAAGCATTGTCATGTGAACATTCAGAGTCACATATTTATACAGAAAATATAACAACAAAGTTTGATAATCATGAAGTCTCTACTTCGGGGAGTTCAGCATATCCTTCATCTCAGCCAATTGTCAATGATGAGAATGCTGACCTTTCAACCTCCTATCAAGCCAACATCTCAGATGCATCTATAAGTACTTCCTGTGTAGGTGATAAGCTACCTGATGATGCTTCTCCTCAGGATCTAAACAACTTCTTCCTAGAAAGTAGAACAATAGGGGAAGATCAAAGTACATTTTTATCTGAACTGCATGGCATGGAGGGTTCATTGCCACAAGACCTGAATTGCTCCCTGCCACAGGGATTTGCATCTGATCCAAATGACTCTCAGTTGTCTTCCCCTATTGAAGAAGTCCTGGATGATTTTGCTCTGGGCCTTGATTCTGAGGATGCTGGTGTGGAGAAAACTGCATATAATCCATCCTTATGGACTCCTGTAGAAATAGAGACTGCTTCAGGCAATGCAGACTGCATGTTTGTGGAGCATCCTCTAAAGCTCAAAAGCACGTATGCACAAGTTGAGGTAAATATCATGATGTTAAACCTTTTCTTTTTCTATTGTTTTTCACCCTTTGTTAATCATGTCCTCATGCTTCTTCTAACACTAAATTTAAGTTGGAGGGAGGGTCATTAAGTAGGAAGAAAAATGGTAAGAGGAAGGGTTGGGGAAGGAAGGTTGATGAAAAGGCATGTGATCTTTGATTCCATGTACTACCTCAATTGCATGAAAATAACACTGTTTGAAAAAGCTCACAATTTTAGGACACAGCATTGAACACTGTTTATATATCATGCTTGCAATTTTTCCCTGAACTGGATTGGTTTTGGCTTTAGAAGTTAGCACAGAATTTACTTGGGATAAAAGTCTAATTAAAGAAATTGATTAACAATTATCACTTGACTTTTAGAAAGGGACTAAATTACAGGAAAGATATAAAGGCTGGATCAGGATTATCTTATCAAGGGGAGTAAAAGAATTCGTCACTGAAAGTTCTGTGTTTATGCATATTTTGCAGGACAGTTCTGGAACAAGAGACCCAAACGGAGAACCCTTGGTGACCAGCTACAACAGGTGTTTTTTGGGAACCGTTGATTATATATGGTAAGTTAAAAAGGTTCTGCTCTTCGTCATTTCTACTCTGCATATTAGATTTCTGTTTTTCCTTGAACTCATTACATGGAAAAACTTAATCAATGAAGTGTTCCTATGGCCTTGTTGTTTGCTTGTGGTTTGGTGGGCACATCTAGTCTAGTAAACAGGGGATAAGGGGCAGAAACTGGAGTGGGTGGGGGCTTTCACAACGAATTATAAATTTCATGTCCAATCTTGAAGCTTTCAGTGGTGGGAGGGGTGTTATTATTGTTTGGATGGGGCCATCTCAAAATTGTTGCTGAGTGCTGCTCTGCAGCAGAAACAATGGTTTTGAGGGAAAAATTCTTAGTTATTTCTTATTTCAGATGGGGACTATTTGAAAGGCTATATTTTGATTGAATGTTTAGGTGTTCGGAAGATCTCCAGACTGTCAAGGTGCTTGCCCCAATTCCGAAACATGCTGTGCAACGGACACCAGGATTCCCAACAAAGGTATAAGAATTTTCTTTAAGCATGTGTTTGCAGTAGGCTGGGTAACAGTAAAATGTGCTGGTTTGGAAATCAAATTACAAGAAGGCTCCAATGATCTAGTTTCTCGAGGGCATTTTCTCTTTCTCGTAGAATTTTAAATGCCTCATGTACCATTAATCCTTTATATTTGTGGCTGAGGCAGTCTAATTATAAGTCACTTCTCCTTTGATGAAGAGATCCCTAGTTCAATTCCCCCTCACCATTCTCAAAATAGCATCACATTTTAACAAGTCAGATAGGTTGCATGGTAGTTTTTCAAGACATTACCAGTTTTTGTTTTTGACTGGCCTCACTAGTTCAAATTGGGGCTCACAATAAGGTGGGTTAAGTTTTGAAAGATTGCTATTTGGCCACTTCTTGTTTGTCTAGCCCCATAATCCATCCTTCCTGTTCCTCAAAGCATTAGGTAAGGAAATGGCGAAGTGGGAATGAATGGATTTAATTATTTGATTTTTCTGCAATGCATTTTTGGTTGCCTATAGTTTAAGTGTTGGCTGTGTTATTCAGAAATGGGGAAGTGATCACATTGCATTGGCTTCGGAATTGGCATTCACAAAAGATGCAAGCAACAATAACATAGAAGTTCAGTAACACTAGCACGGGAATGTGCTTGTGGTTGCACTTACAGCATTTGTAAATCATTGCTCGTAATGAGGTTCAAACTGCTCTCCTAACCATTTTAGTTCAGCATTCGTCTCTTGTACTTCTACGTATTATGTTAAAGTTTTGCTTTTTGGTGTTATTTTTTCACCAAGAGAGAGAATTGTATTCCGATTCTGGTCTGGAAGATTTTGTATAATATGTGTGCAAACTAAAGCAAAACTTTTCTTTCTGCAGTTAATTTTCTGTAGTGGCTGATGTGCAAGTGACTCTTAGGTTTAGCATTGTCACAGAAGACAATCAGCATTAGTCAAACCTTCCAGTTGCTTTCGTTACCTGTTGCTGTGAGAAAAATTAGACTTTTTTCTTAAAAAAAAAAAAAAAATGAAGGATGCTTTGTTTCAAAAAGTTAATTATAAGTTCTCTCAATATAGCTCCAAAACTTTGTTTTGTATCAATCAACCCCTTAAAAGTTTGAGCATTTTTCAAATTCCCTATTCCGTTTCCTGTCTGTTTTCGTTTATGCATTGACGGAACTGATGACATTAACGTTTTCTTTTTCTTGACCCTCTAAAGTTCAATCAATCAAGCAACCATCCCTTAATGCTTTAAATTCACCGAATTCAAAAAAGGCCTCATGAACATTGCTTATTCTACACCAAATGCGTCCTGAAATTAATTAATATAATCACCATAGTAGATACCAATTATTTTTTTAATAATATTTAACGAATTAAATACTCTCTTTATAATAGTCAGATTCAGTGTTTGCTATCAATTTTTTTTTCATTGTAGATTATACTCCGATCTCTTTTCAATATTATATTTCTCAAACTTATGCACCTCTAATACAAAATTATTGAAATACTGACGAAAATACATAAAATTCAAACTAGAAACCGTTAATACAACATAAAAGAAAATATGTTGGCATATTTTGATGATAAATAACCAACAACAAATGTATTTAAAGAAATTTGCACTTAAAAAGTTTGTTTGTTTGTGTTTTTGGAGTAATCAATTGACTAGTTGTGAGATTGTTTGATTTCTGCATTTAACTGTATCAAACGAACATCTCCAAGCAATCCTTTCCTTTTTTGGGAACCTACCAGTACCATGCCATGAAACATCGTTATGTGGTAAAAGCAAGAAAATCAGAAAACATGGTTATTGATTAATATTAGTGCAAACATTCTGCATAAATTAATCATGTAAATCCATAATCATCCAAATTAAAAATAAGATATACAGCTAGATACGCCGTAAATAACATAATCCAAGGCACTGAACCTATAGCAACGATGAAGCGCAAACGACTCTTGAGACGACCCTAGCGCCTCTTACGTTGACCGACAGTTGCAGGAATTCGATCATGATCATAACGTGCAAGATCATCCAAAGAAGCTCCATCCTCAGCCATGGTATTCCATCCTGTCATCATATATAATGCCTGGTGATGATCGAGATCACCTGTCTGTTAGGCTGATCATCAGCTGCACCACCTTGTCCAGAGCCACTTCCTTCTCCTTCACCATGGTCGGCAACCTGCTGCTGATGCAATTCGAACACACTACGCGCTATTAATATTAAAATGAGAACTTCATACTTCGGGGTCAATGTGAAGCAGTATTGCAATATCCTTCAACAGCGACTGCACTGTAGCCGTCCATGAGATTCAATTTCCATAATAAACAAAAAAACACATTTTCTGTTTCTAGACAAAGGAAACAGATATATATATATTTGGCTTAGAAAGTAAAAATGATGCTTCTTAATTTGTTTAATTAGAAAACCCCAAGAAAGAAAAGGAAAAAAAAAATCTGTATATACAATAATCCGAAAAGATGTATAGCATCACTATGAAGAAGAAAGAGAGAGAGAGAGACAAGAAACAATAAAGGCAGTAGCTATCATACTATCTTAATTTGAAACCCTTTAATTTTAAAAATCAATAGCTACGAATACTTTGATATTTTTTTTCATAAGATCATTGTATAGAAAAAATAAAACAATAATTAATGTAAAAAATTATATAAACGTTAACAAAAAAAATTACTCTTTTTTAATGTTAATGAGAAAATTATTTTTTAAAAATATATATATTAAGTTTATATATATTTATTCAAAAAATAATTAATAATATTAATATTAAAAAATATAGTATCATTGAGTGGTTTTTCTAAAACATTATTTTAATTATCTTATTTAAAAAAATTAATTTTAAAATAATTTAATAGTTAATTTTTTTGTATATAGATGCATAGTTAATTTTTAATAAAATTAATAACTCAATTTATATATATGTGTGTATTGTTTCTACACAACATGGCTGAGACCATTAGAGCCCACGGTGACATGTTATTCGCCAATCATTATACTATCGTGGCTAAAATCTTAAATAACTTTAAGATAAATTACATGAATCTTTCAAAATTTTAAAAAATTTGACAGAAATCCTCTATTATACTCAAATTTTATAAAATTAGAGAAAATATTAAAAAAGAAACTTTAAAAAATTGACTGAAATGAAACAGTGAAATTAATATTTTTTCTATGTACTAAAAAAATAATAAATAATAATGCCCTACTTTTTTATATTCTTTCTCTAATTTTTAATGTTTTATAATTAACTATCTTTTTTTAAATAGTAATTAAAGCCATTTTGAGTATAAAATGAGGGTTTTTGTAATATTTTTTTAAATATGGAGAGAATTTTTACTAAATCTCTACAATTTTATAATATCTTAAGAAAGTTATTGTAATTTATCCTAATTTCAATGAGAAGGTATTATACATCCATTCTTCGCTGGCTTCTAAATCTTGACAATCACGTGACAACTGATCAGCAAATGTTCAACAGAAAAAAAATAATAATAAATAAATAACAAGAAGCAGATCATGTGATTTAGGATCTGTCGTGTGACACACTTGGCCGGGTTGACCCAATTAAACAACAAATATACACATTCCAGCAAGCAAACAGCTCACGTACTTTTCGAATTTTCTTATTTTGCCTGCTGCATGCCATGTCTCTCTTGCAGCATCATCACATCATCACATGTGATATATGAGATTTAATCATGATTACACTTTGAAAATTTTTAAAAATTCGTAATACTATTAAAAGTACGGACACAATAAGCCATAAAGTGATAATCCATTAGTAATTAAGTATTGACTTATAAATTAGATTTAGAATTCAATCTTTATAAGCGATACTTTTGAGAATATATCCTTAGAATTGTTAGTGTAGGTGTCCTAAATCCAACCATGTATGGATAGACTTGAGTTAATGTATCATTGCATTATTTATTTTAATAATAATAAAAAAGTCATTCCGTTAATTCTTTTGTTTACATATTCAATAGAATTAGATAAAAGTCCTTATGATATGCATTTGCAATAGTAATTGATCGAAAAACGTGAGACAAACACTAATGCACATAAATAATATCATTAAATGTCCCAAGTCGTAGCATTGTCAATAATGGATATTGACAAATGCGGATAGACTTGTGAGTGCTATATGATAGCAAGTACGAGATCTCATACCTATTGGTATGGTGATGCCAAAGCAAGCGCTTAGATAATTTATATTAGAAAACATGTCACTGGACTTGACTCGTCATGAGAATCCATTTGGTTTTAGTCTATAGGAATCTCATACAAGATGGGTACAAATGGTCCTTACACTTGAAGTCGTCACGGTTATCTCATTGGAAGACTTATGCACTTTGACAATCGTTTCAATGGGCCTATTAATGGGTTGCACGTGGACGATTCGTTAGGTGCACTAGGAATCTAATAAAGATAGATGTATGATTAAGATAGGACATTTCATTCCTTGTATGCTAAAGGAGTTATCACATTGCATCGATAAATGTCTGCTAAAAAAAATCTATAGTCATAGTAAGAGTACACCAATAGAACATAGTTGGTCTACTCTAAGAGCTAAGATATTTGGGAATCAAAGAAAACTTATGTGATCATAATCGAACAAGATTAATAACCAAATTCGAGATCACATTGTGATAAGTTGACATGAGGACTCAATGTATGGTAACCATGCTCGTGAAAGGTAATAATGGATTAACTAATCCTCCTAGAGAATTGAGTAGTCATAGTGCCTTGCTAAAGGTCAATCTTGATTTATGTTTTAAGAGATTAAAGAGGAGTCTTTTATTCTTTATACATTGCCAACGGATCTAGGAGCCTATTGAGTCACACGCATAAGTTTAAGTATTCACATTACAAATGAGAAGCAAAGATATTAGAAAAAGTTTTCAATTATAAAAGTTTCCTATTTTGGAAAGAGTTTCCAAGATGAGAAGTTTCCTAAAATGAAAAGTTTCCTATTTTAGAAATAGATTTCCTAATTTGGAAGTTAGTTTCAAATATGGAAATAAAGAACCTAAAAGGAAATGAGTTTCCTAATTTAGGTTAAAGGATATTTTAAAAAATTGTTTCCTAATATGGACCACCGCCAAAATAATCTAAAAATATTTATTTGGATAGTCTAAATAAATTTATTGGGCTAAAATAGTTTTGACCCATTAGATTTAATTAAAAACCTTAAAGATAATTTTAATGAGAGGATAAATATCAACTTTATTGGATAATGATGAATGTTTTAAAGATAAACATTAACCTTATTAGATAAGGTTGAATGTTTTAAAAGATAATAATCAAGTAGTCCACATATAAAATAACTCCTCATCCTTGGAGGATAAGGAAGCAATAACCTATAATCTTTTATGGACTCAAAGCCGTCACTCTTCTTATCCTTAGAGGGCAAGTAAACTCTCCCCTTACATATAGGAAAAAGAGGTGCAGCAAGAAGGTGTTAATGACCCAATAGAGTATTTCAGCTAACAAAAAGAAAAGGGAAGAATTTCGGCCAAAAGAAAAAGAAGAAGGAGAAATTTCAACCAGCCTCCAAAAATAAGTTAGGGCACATGACCAAGAGAGAAAATAAATGAGAAAATAGTTTTCTCCTAAACCCTAGCTAGAAATACTCTTTCCTCCTTGTTTAAGGTTGTCGCAAAGTTACTCAAGATTGATTTCTACGAGAAAATACTTAATCGGAAAATGTTGAGCTAGCACCCTATTAATTTTGAGTGCTTCTTAGTGGATACTTGGGTTACGTGAATCATCAATAGAGGCTAGACACTTGGACGACTAAGCAAAAAAAAAGGAATTTAGATCTACGCTACAAGAGGTAATATTTTACTTTAGCATATTATTCGTGTATGTATGATTAGTAGATTCAACGGCATGATCTTGAGACCTTAGACAGAGGAAAATTTTTTATTTATTACGTACCTCCATAGGATGTATGATCTTTCAAGAATATCCAAAATCGTGCATTGAGGATCTGCTCCTTAGTCACATTCAGGAAAAGATTAATGTTGAGAAGCACAAAAACTAATATGAAGATATCCTTATGATTAAATCGAAAAAAAAAAAGTTAAACACACACACACACACACACACATATATATATATATGAACCAGAGATTATTATAGGAATCTGAAATATTATATAATAATTTTTTATTGATCATCACTTTTTTCATGAGCAAACAGTGACTTAAAATCACTGCTGGCAAAGAAAGCCAACCAGCTGTCATCTAAAAGAAAACGGTCCACCATAAAGGTTTGCGACTGATGAGTTTTACTAACTCCTTTCTTTAGTCTTGATAATAATAATAATAATACTTAAAAAAAAAAAAAAGGAAAATCATCTCTAAGAAAAAGAAATTCATCTCTTAGCCTGATCGCTTTTTTAAACTCCCAATTGCTTTGATTTTTTTTCTCTTTTAATATATATTTTTTCTCTTTTAGATTTTTCAATGGCTACATATAAATTAATACAATTAGAGTTTGGAACCTCAATTTAATCCCAAACCTATACACCCCTTCTCAATTGCACCTTAAATCTATAAACATTATTAATTAAGCCTCAAAATTTTCTATATTTCTTAATCGGGTCCTTTTGTAAAATGGCGTCGCTTTGAAAAATTTTGACAAATAAATTAATGAAGCCACAGAAAGAGCATTAATTTTTTTTATTTCTAATTTCAAATTTTTATTCACTAAAATAGTATAGATTTGAAGAAAAATTGACAAAAAAAAAAATGTTAAAGAACATTGATGCCAGGGAAAGAGCCGATCGAGAATTATTTGAAATTTTTAGGATCAAATTGACAAAAATTATAAGTCTGGGATGTAATTGAGAATGTATATATGGGTTTGGGATTAGAGAGTTTTCTCCATTATCTTATTTTTGTAAATTAGTGGGCATGCCTGCATCCATTAATCTTCACCGGCTTCTCATTAATCGCGGTTTGCAATTCGACACGCTCGGGTGGACCTATTCAACACTAACGAGTAAATTATAATTTAGTCCCTCTTGTTTTGAAAATAAATTAATTAGTCCTCTTAGTTTAAAAGAATAACTATTTAGTCCTTTTTCTATTTATTTTGATTTTTTTAATAAATAAAAATATAAAAAAGATAAGAAAAGAAATTTTATCAAATAAAAATATATTAAATTAATCGTGATCAATACTAGTTAAAGAAATTAAATAATTATTTTTCAAAACTAGAGGGACTAATTTATAATTTATAATTTACTCCAACACTAACACACACGTGCTATTTCAGGCAAAACAGCTCATAATTATTTCCTATTCCTTTGTTTCGCTAACTAATGCGAATCGTAGTCACCACCGACTTTGAAACGAGGAATATGCTTTAACACGGGAAAGAATGTTCCGATGGGAAAGAAATATTTTCTGTTTTGTTCATGCGGGTGAGCAGTTGAACAACTTTACCTTTAAAAGGGTTGTTTGGTAGGAAGGGAGTTTTGATTTTAGAATCGGAAAGAAATTCGAAAGAATTAAATTTTTTTTTCTAACCTAACCTGTACGCCTGATTGTCTTCATGATAGCAGTAAATTATAAATTACTGTCTCTATTTTTACAAAATAAATAAATTCGTTCCTTTTGTTTAAAAAATTAATTTTAAACCAGTTAATTTAGTATTATTTTATTTTAAAAAATTAATTTTCTCATCAATCTATATATTTTTTATTTTTAAATAAAAAATAAAATTACAAAAATTTTAAAATATATAAACAATAATTAATTTTAAAAAAATATTAATTAATTCGTTTCTCATCGTTAAAAGAATTGATTTTATAATAGTAATCAATTCAAAAAAATCTTTAATTTTTTGGAATAAAGGATTGCTAAGAGATGAATTAGTTGCGCCCGTAATTAGTATTATTATTTTTTTAAAGTAGTTTAAGACTTAAAAAATATAAGTAATTTATATATTAGTCCCTCTCTTTTTTAAAAATAAATTAATTCATCTTTTTTGTTTTAAAAGCTAATTATTTATTTTTTATATTTTGAAATTTATTTAAAATTTATTTTCTTAATTTATTTTAAGAAATAGAAAAAAATTAATGAAAAATAACAAATTTTATGAAATAAAAATAATATTAAATTAAAATATAATTTACATTAATTAAAAAATTAAATAATAATTTTTTAAAAAATAATTAATATGTTTTTTGAAACCAAAGGGACTAATTATTTATTCTAAAAAAAATATTGAAGTAATCCAAATCTATATAAAATTGTTTTTAATACATATGCAACAAAAATGGATTCGACTCGGATTTATATTTATATAAAAACAAAAAAAAATTGCGAAGAATGGAAAACAGAAAAAAACTAATCAAATTCACACGCCATCCCCATCTTCTCTTTCTTCTTCTTCCTCATCACAATTTCTCTTGAGATCTCAAACCTTGACACCAAAAAATAACAAAAAAATGGGTTTAGGCTTATGAGCTCCAAGGCTCATAAGACTCCAAACCTGATCTTCCACCGCGGACACCAGTAGTGTTTGTTGATGGGCATCTAGTGAAAACTCCAAAAGGAACGATGGTGTTACAGGCTTGTGAAGTTGCGGGTGTAAATATTATGAGTTATTGTCATCATAGTCGGTTGTCGATAGCTGGGAACTGTCGTGTGTGTCTTGTTGAGGTGGAGAAGAGTCCTAAGCCCGTTGCTTCTTGCGCTATGCCTACTCTTTCTGGTTAGGGTTTTGACTTTTTTTTTTTATCTGGGTTTTTGGTTTGGATAGTGAATTTGGCGGAATTGAGTGTTATTTGTTTTGATTGTTGAGTAAAGATTGGAAAATTATAGTTAAATTTTGCCTTTCTGTGACTGATTTGGTTGATTTTGATGGTTTAAGCAGATTTAGGGGCTTCTGCTTTCTCTAGATTTTTTTTTCTTATTTCTGTAATTTTGGTGATTTTAAGGAGAACTCGGAGTATTGAACTTTTTTTGGGTTTTTGATTTGTTTTGCGAATTTGGTGGAAATGAGTGTAGTTTGCGTGGATGATTTCTTTAGGGTTTGGGTTCTAATTGATTTATTTGGTGTTTAATTTGGTAAAAATGAGTGCAAATTTGTTTGATTTTAGGGCTTTCTGTGATTTTGATTAATTTTTTTTTTCCAATTCTTGGCAGGTATTTTTTGTAATTAAAATTTTTTAATTTTTTTCTATATAAATTCGAGTGAAATTTATTTTTATCACGCGTTAATTGGAGACTTTCACGTGTAATTGGATGGATCATGTCAGTTTTTTTTTTGAAAAAAAAAAGTTTAAATGACAAAGAAAATTAAAATAGAAAAAAAGAGCTAAAAAAAAAGACAGAATAAAAAATAAAAAAATGAATACTGGAATTACTGTTTTCTAATGATTAATAATCGATTATCCATGAGCAAAAAATGTTATCACTATTTTCATCATGCATGTAAGGCCAAAAAAAAAAAAAAAAATTGAAATCAGATATTAAAATATCACTTTTTCAAACTACGGAAAAATTAAATGAAAAAAGACCCGATATACCGCCAGGCCCAAAAAAAAAAAAAAAAGATAACGATAAAATAAAACTGAAATTAGATAGAAACAACATGATTGACTTTTTTTTCCCATTAAATATCACTTTTTAGAAAAAAAAAAATCCAAAGTATCCCACAAATATCAAAATCATTCAAATTTCTATTTATCTTTCCCCCTTCTTTTTTTCATTTTACGAAAGTAAATTTGGTTATTACTTTTTTACTATATTAGTATTTATTAGTTTTTTTTCCATTCGTTCGTTTTCTAATTCATTTCTTTTCTTCTTTAGTAAATGAAAAAAAGAAATAAAATACAAAAGGGAAAGATTTGACGAGAGATGAATGTTTTCCCTAAAAATGAAATTACTCTAAATGAAACAAAACACTGTTATAATCAATTCTTCCTGATGCAGCACACCACGTTAGACTCGACATTTCAAAAATAGCGTTTCTTGACCGTTAATTGTGATGATTTCGTAACGTGTCAGCATCCCATTGGCAGTGTTTGTAGAGGGAGAGGACATGGGGTCCACAACCTGCAACAATGTTTTGCCACACGACACCTTAAAAAGCACGAGCACAAGAGAAACACCGCACAAAAGTCTCATTTATAAAACTCGGAAGTGCTTTCAGGTTTCGCATTCTCGAGTCCATTGGTCTCTCAGACATGAGATAGGGGGTCGATTTCTCTTCAGATTTTTCATTCAAGGTCAGTTTTTTCTTATTGATCTTACTTTATATTTCGTATTTCTGCATTGGGTTTTTTTTCGCGCTGCTTGAAATGACTTATATTTGCATGTTTTTTCTTCATTTGTCTCTCATTTCTTTTGGTAATAGAAAGACTTGATGTAGATCTCTTTTTATTTTAACAAGATTATCTCTTTCTATGTTAACAAGATTGAACATTTTTGTAACTTTGAGGATGTAAATGATGTATCGATGTAGTTTGGTGATGGGTTTCTCTTATTGTGCAGGGGCGACATGGTTCTTTGACTTCTTGCTTTTGCATTTCCCGAGTCTCTGATGCAAAGTTTTTGTTTTGATCTTTTGTATTGGTCTTTAAAGCTTATTTAGGGTTTAAACCCTTTTCCTGCTGACTTTTGAAAATCCTCAAAGAATCCAATTTCAATTGTAGGAAACTTTTGATTTTGACCACCTTTGTTGAAAACAAATCTAGCAACAATGTCTGAATCAAATCAAGCGAAACCCTTGATCCAGCCGTCATCTTCAAGAAAACTCCCTGATTTCAAGCAGACAGTGAAGTTGAAATATGTGAAACTTGGCTACCATTACCTTATTACTCATGGAATGTTCCTGTTTTTATCACCTATTGTTGTCGTTATCGTAGCTCAACTATCCACATTCTCAATCAAAGATCTACATGACCTTTGGGACCATCTTAAATTCAACCTCATATCTGTGATCGTGTGTTCGACCCTCCTCGTGTTTTTGTTGACCCTTTATTTCCTTACTCGGCCTCACCCTGTTTACCTAGTGAATTTTTCATGTTACAAGCCTGATGATGCTAGGAAATGTACTAGGAAAATTTTTGTGGATAGGTCGCAGTTAACAGGTAATTTCACTGAGGGAAGCATGGAGTTCCAAAGGAAAATTCTTGAGAGATCCGGTCTTGGGGAGTCAACTTATCTTCCCGAGGCAGTTTTGAGAGTTCCTCCGAATCCGTGCATGGCCGAAGCAAGGAAGGAAGCTGAGGCTGTAATGTTCGGTGCGATCGACCAGCTGCTTGAGAAGACATCCGTGAAACCGAAAGATATTGGGATTCTGATTGTGAATTGCAGCTTGTTTAACCCTACACCATCCTTATCTGCTATGGTGATCAACCATTATAAGCTAAGGGGGAATATTCTTAGTTACAATCTTGGTGGTATGGGTTGTAGTGCTGGTTTGATATCGATTGATCTTGCCAAACATCTTCTTCAAGTGCATCCTAATTCTTATGCTTTGGTTATTAGCATGGAAAACATCACCTTGAATTGGTATTTTGGGAATGATAGGTCGATGCTTCTCTCAAATTGCTTGTTTAGAATGGGAGGGGCTGCTGTTTTGCTTTCAAATAAAAGATCTGAGTGGTGGCGTTCTAAGTACCAATTGGTTCATACTGTTAGGACAAATAAGGGTGCTGATGATAAGTGTTTCTCCTGTGTTACTCAACAAGAGGATTCTACTGGGAAGGTTGGAGTTTCTTTGTCGAAGGACTTGATGGCAGTTGCAGGAGATGCTTTAAAGACTAACATCACTACCCTTGGCCCTCTTGTTTTGCCAATGTCTGAACAGCTGCTCTTCTTTGCCACATTGGTGGGGAAGAAACTCCTTAAGATGAAGTTAAAGCCATACATCCCGGATTTTAAATTGGCTTTTGAGCATTTCTGTATTCATGCTGGGGGTAGAGCTGTGCTGGATGAATTGGAAAAAAACCTACACCTTTCCGATTGGCATATGGAACCTTCCAGGATGACACTCTATCGATTTGGCAACACTTCAAGTAGCTCTCTTTGGTATGAATTGGCTTATTCAGAAGCCAAAGGAAGGATAAAAAGGGAGACAGAACATGGCAGATTGCTTTTGGGTCTGGGTTCAAGTGTAACAGTGCTGTCTGGAAGGCTCTGAGGACCATAAATCCAGCAAAGGAGAAGAATCCATGGATGGATGAGATCGACCAGTTCCCAGTGGATGTTCCAAAGTTTTCAGCAATACAGTAGCTGTAACGGTTCCATTGGTTTGCAGGGGTGTGTTTCTGTGATGGTGGCATCGATCTTTGAGTTATGAAGCCTTTCTAGTGTCGTTGCTTTTGCATCCAATTTATTTAGTTATGACCCTTTCTAGTTTCTTTGCTTTTGCAGCAGATTTATTGAGTTATGACCGATATGTGGTTTCTGTTTTGAACTCTGACTGACTAGTAGGAGGTTATCCCTCCTTTGAGCAGGATACAATTTGTATGCAATTCATTCATCCTCTTTGTTCCAGTTAATGTGTTTCCTTTCTGGCATTGCTCATCTTGTTATAGCTCCCTTTGTAAGAGATCTACCATGGCATTATATGCTATATGTTCACCTTCTCTTCCCAGACATGATTGTTTTGATCACGATGTCTGATTTATTGTTATAGAAACTGAAAGCAGATCAAACAACATTGGGATAATGATGATAATTATCACTGATGATGGCTTGAAATTCGGTTTTTGTGTGGATTTTTTAAATTTGTTTGCCCATACCAATATTAAAAGTTGCCTACCTCTAACAGGTTGGGCTTCGTGACACTCAGAATAAGGAGAAATCTGAGAACTTGCATATTATACCCCCAAACCCAAAAGATGCATCAGAGTGCCCTTGGATAGATGAAAACATAATTGTAAGATTCTAAACAATCCGAACTCCCTATGTTTGTGGGGGGTCTTAGCAGTGACAGGCATACGGTGTTCAGTTATCTCCTAAACCTTGTTTCGTTTAACCTATTTTAAACTGTCGTAAAACATGGAAAGAAATTATAGAGTGAAAATGAACAGAACAGTAATTGAAAATATATTCTAGCAACTCTCTGTTCAACCTACAGGATTGTCTAACAATTTGCAAACTGCCACAAACGAAACCATACGAACGTTGTTCAGTTACTACCAAACCGAAAAGGAAACCAGCTATCATCCAAAAGAAAATGGACCAAATATCACCCAATGTACACAGCACAGCAGTCCATCCCAAGGATTCAGTTTAATAATACAACAGACCAAAATAGCATCATTCCTTGGAGGATTTGTTGATTAGCGACTTGTGGATGTGAGGGATCACACCACCACCAGCTATGGTTCCTTTTATAAGAGTGTCTAGCTCTTCATCACCCCGGATTGCTAACTGCAAATGCCTAGGTGTTATACGTTTCACCTTCAGATCCTTGCTTGCATTTCCTGCTAGCTCTAACACTTCAGCGGTTAGGTACTCCAAGATAGCAGCAGAGTAAACAGCTGCCGTTGCACCCACTCTTCCATGGGCAGTCGCTCTTGATTTCAGAAGTCGGTGGATACGCCCAACAGGAAACTGCAGGTGTCATATAGAACGAAATAGATGGTCAAATCTTTTATGTTTTTGGACGAATATAAATGGTCAAATCTAAAAAAGGAACAGCTTTGCTGAAAACAGGGAAAAAGTAACAATAATCAATCCTCAGAGTCAGAGCCATAACAGCCATATCGCAAAAATAGTACAATCAGTACTCATGCAAAATGCTACTCCACTGTTTTCTAGCTGCGGTTATCTCTCTGAACGTGTGGGATTTAAAACAAAGTTGAAAGAAAGAGCACAACGAGATGCAAGTACAAAAGGTAGTATAAGACATCTAAAAGACAATGGCCAAGACAAGCATAAATAACCAAATTTCTGGTTTATGAATTTAAAAGCAATATAGGCAATGCACAAAAACAGCAAAGATAACTACACCACTTTATATAACATCATTGACCTAAAATTAACAAATAACTGATGACCAGAAGAACTTTTGGCTTAATGTTTTGGCTTAATGTATCTGAAAGCTTGACGAGTCTTTATTTAATCTTTGACTAACTCAACAGAATCTTTCCGAAGTATGTGTTAATGCCTGGAATTGATAAATACTAATACTCCATTTTAATCAAAGTCTGAAATATTATGAAAGTTACTGGACCAAACAAGCCATCTGTAATATTTAACTGTAACAGTCAAATGGTAAAACCTAAACAATTCCATAATGCTCTTTGGTACCTTATAAGCCACCCATTTAGTTTGGAAAGAATAGATACCTTAAAGTCTCAACTGTATACGCTACGAAAAAACATAATTATTTAACATCCTCATCACCCATTTCAAATTATATAGCACCAAACTATATTTCTAACCCACGCTTACTCCACCTGAGTTGTATTCAATTTAACAAAATTCATATCCTCTACAATCTCAAGCTATCCAAACTCAAATACGTCCTTACTGAGCATTTCAAAGAACCAACAGAAATCCCTAACAAGTCAACACTCATCAATAATTCAGCATGATAAACACTACCTAGAAAAGATCAAAAAATTGCAGAGGAAAAGGATACAAGCTTTGTTCATAACAACATCCCAAGCCCTAACATTTAGTTCAGACTTTTTTACGGTAAGTAATTCTATCAGCCTCTGATTGCATTTGCATTAAAGAGATTTATGGCATATGTGGATTACTCAAGAAACTAAATCCTTAAGAAACCAAGGGCTAGTTTTCTCTCAAGAAATGAAATTCTTTTTCCTTTTTTCACCTTCTCTAGAGTGGCTGCTGCATTCTCCTTTTAGCCTAGTTACAGCATTTTTTTCCCTATTTTTCTAGTTCTTACTTTTTATACAAGTTCCTCAGCGTCATCAATTCAGCTGACATGATAACTTGAAGAAAAAAAAAAAACCAGTTTTTGCTCTCAAATTTCAGATAGTTTTGATTTCCAAACTATAAAATCCAAGTTCAACTAACCCCAATAGTTATCTTAGCCAGCCTAAGTACAAGTTTCCCTCAATTTTTCATGGAAATCCCAGTATATTTTTCTATTTCACGAATTGATTCCTCAATTATAAATCGTAACAATATTCCATAAAAAAACACATTAACACAAAACTTCAATAAAATTGATTAAACAAAAACATCATCGTTTCTCATGGACCAAGCAACAAAAAACACACACACTCATCAGTTCGCTCCTGACTATCCCTAAACCGACACAACTTGCACTCAAAATCTTCAATAAACCCAAGCGAAAAGCCAGAAACCATGACCAAAATAAAAACCCATTAATAAAATAAATAAAACTCACTAGACGGTCATAGCACCTCAAGAATTAAGCAATTAAGATTAAAACAAAAGCGAAAAACTAAACACCCCACCAAAACAACTCAGAAAAAAAAAAAAAAAAAAAGAACCTGAAGACCAGCACGTGAAGAGCGAGAGATGGGTTTTTTCTTGTCTTTATCTTTAGATTGAGCTGGAGTTTTGCTTGTTAACAATCCCTTTGCTCCTTTGCCTGACATTTTATCTTCCAAAAACCAAACACACAGCCTCCTCTCTTGTTAGATTTACTTTAGATTTGTTTTTGTTTTCTCTTTTTTTTTTTTTTTTCCCTTCTTTTTTTTTCTTTTAGACAACGTAAGGTGGCCCGAAAGGGAACTTTACATCTTAGGATGGAAAGTTAAATGCCCTGAACGTTTCATAATATTACGTCAAAGCCATTGGTTTTGTGAGAGTTATTTACGGATTTTTTTTGGGGGGTAGGAATTGAAACATAAAGTCGTCTTCTTGGGACGTGGATATAGCAAGAAAAACCCAGTCAGCAAGGGGCGCGATGCATCACTTCAATGGCAGTCTACGTCCATCACCCATTATTACACTTCTTTCTCGTTTACCCCTATGGTCCCAGAAAACGTAATTGGCTCCTCGGACTTCAGACTTTAGAGATTGTCTGATTGGGTCACTTGCTTCCTCTTCCAAGTTATGGTTGATTTGAACAATATGTTTGATTCTGGTTGCCAATTGTAACAGAAATTGATAGCAGATCACACAGCACCATGATTCATAATGCTTATAATTAGAAGCAACCTGAGAACTTGCACGACCTCGATCCTAAACCCCAGGGATAGATATGTATATACATAAAATATAGATACAAATTCTCAAACAAAAAATTATACTAAATAGAGATTCCAATTAGGCAATTCCTTAGTATAATAATCATTATTATATTAGTTTGCATTTAATAGTAATACTCGCATAATTAATTTGATTTTTAATCAAATATTAATGTGTTAATAATCTTGATACTATCAACTTAAAAAACCACAATTCATAAAACATGAAAGGAAATTACGGAGTAAAAATGAATAGAAGAGTAAGTGAAAATATATCTAGCAACTTTCTGTTCAAGCCACAGGATTGTCTCACAATTTGCGAACTGTCACAAATCAAACCATACAGTGCTCAGTTACTACCAGAACGAAAAAAGGGAACCATTTATCCTCCAAAAGAAAATGGACCAATTATCACCCAATAAACTATCAGCCAATGTACACAACACACCAATCCATCCCATGGATTCAGTTAATAATATAACTGGCCCGCAATAGCATTATTCCTTGGAGGATTTGTTGATAAGCGACTTGTGGATGTGAGGGATCACACCACCACCAGCTATGGTTCCTTTTATAAGGGTGTCTAGCTCTTCGTCACCACGGATTGCTAGCTGCAAATGCCTAGGTGTTATACGTTTCACCTTCAGATCCTTGCTTGCATTTCCTGCCAGCTCTAACACTTCTGCAGTTAAGTACTCCAAGATAGCGGCAGAATAAACAGCTGCTGTTGCACCCACTCTTCCATGGGCCATTGCTCTTGATTTCAGAAGGCGGTGGATACGCCCGACAGGAAACTGCAGGGATGATATAGAACGAATAGATGGTTAAATCTTTTATGTGTTTGAACTTATAAATGGACATATAAAAAAGGCAAAAAACTTTGCTGGAAACAGGAGATAAGCCTGGAAGTTATTGTTCATTATTCAGGAAGTCTGCAAATTCCTAGAACACACACCCCTACTTACAAGAAAAAAGTAACAATAATCAATCCTCAGTGCCATGATGGCCAAATAGCAAAAATAGTACAATCAACTGTCATGCAAAAAGCTACTCCACAGTTGTAACCAAGAACAAGACTAGACCTACAACCCAACAACTAAGAAAAAACTGCATTCTAGTTGTGTTTACCTCTCTGAAGGTGTGTAATCTAAAACAAAGTTCAAAGAAAGAGCACGATGAAATGCAAGTACAACAAGAAGCACAAGATATAAAACATACAATGGTTATGAGGAGCATAAAGAAACAAAGTTCTGATTTCTGAAGAGGTAAGCAATGTAGGCAATGCACAGGAAAGGCAACGATATTCACCACTTTATATGACACCACTGATCTAAAGATTAACAACTGAATACCAGAAGAACTTTTGGCTCCACATATCTGACTGCTTCACAAGTCTAAATTTAATTTTTAATTAACATCTTTCCTGATTATGCGTTTATGAAAATTAGAACTGCCTGAAATTGGCAAGTTCTACCACTTCATAATTATTCATATTTCTAGAATATCATGAAAATTGCTGGACCAAATAAGCCATCTGTAACACTTAATTTTAACAGTCAATTTGTAAAACCTAAAGACACTTAAGAGTCCTCAACTGTACGCCCTATGAAATACATAATTATTCAACATCCCCATCATACGTTTCAAATTATAAAACACCAAAATATATTTCTAAATCAGACTTACGCCCTGATTTATAGTCAATTCATTTAACAAAATTCAGTTCCTCTATAACCTCAAGCTACCAGCTCTTGAAAGTCCTTATTGAACATCTCAAAGAACCAACCAAATGCCCTGACAAATCAACACTCTTCACAACACATTAAAAAATTGCAGAGAACGAGGATACAAACTTTGTTCATAACAACATCTCAAACTATAACATTTAGTTGCAACTTATTTATGGTATGTACTTCTATCAGCCACAGATTGCATTCGCATTAAAGAGACTTGTGGGAAATATGGGTTACTCAAGAAACAAAATTCTTAAGAAACCAAGGGCTAGTTTTCTCGCAAGAAACTAAATTCTTTTTCCTTTTTCACCTTTTCTACAATCCATACTACATTCCCCTCCGAGCCTATTTGCATTATACGTGCCTATTAATCTAGTTACCACTTTTTATACCAAATCCTAGAAGTCTTCCTTTCAGCTGACAGCAGATGATAATTTAAGGAAAATAAAGAAAACCCACTATTTACTCTCAGCTTTTTAGATACTTCGGATTTCTAAACGATAAAATCCAAGCTCAACTAATCCTGATAGTTATCTTAGCCGCCCAAAGTACCAAGTTTCCCACAATTTCACATAAATCTCAATTTATTTTGTCTTCCACAAATTGTCACTAAATTATACATCGTAACAATATGTTTTACAAAAGATTCACACAAAACACAAAACTTCTTAACAGCGTCACCGTAGTTTATCATGGACCAAGTAATAAATAAATAAAGCACACAACTTGCGCTCAAAATCTTCAATAAGCCCAAGCAAGAATCCAGAAACCAGAACAAAAATAAAAACCCATTAAGAAAATAACAAAAAATCACTAAATAATCAGAGAACCCTTCACCCTTCAAGCATATAAGCAAGTAAGGTTAAAACAATAGCAGAAACTCAAAAAACCCATCAAAATAACCAAAAAAAAAAAAAAACCTGAAGACCAGCACGAGAAGAGCGAGAGGTGGGTTTTTTCTTGTCTTTATCTTTGGATTGAGCTGGAGTTTTGCTTGTTAACAATCCCTTCGCTCCTTTCCCTGACATCTTCCCTTCCAAAATCCAAGAACACAGACTCTCCTCTTGTTAGATTTTCTTTTAGATTTGTTTTACGGAGACAACGTAACATCAACCAAAAACGAACAAATTATATATCGTAGGATGGGAACTTAAATGCCCTGAAGAACTTATAAAATTACGGCACCGCCATGGCTTTGGGAGTTATATATGGAATCTTCTAGGGGTAGGAATGGGAATATAAAGTTATCTTCTAGGGACTAATGATGGTGTGGCGAGAAAAACCCAGTCAGCGTGTTAGGTGATATCCAAACATCACAGACAGGGAAACCAGTACTGGGCCTGATAATGCCCACTAGGCCCAAATTATTTCCTGGTAAAAAGAAGAGAAATTATCATGTAAAATTATGAGTGGGAGGGTATTGCTTGGGGAGTAGCTAATAATTACTCAAATAAGAACTCGTTATGATAATTTGGTCCTGACTCAACAGAATCTTAACTGTTTTTTTTTTTTTTTTAATATTTACAGATAATAAAATATTTTCATACTAGCTTTCACATATATTATTAGATCATATTCGTTGATAGTTATTTTTAATTAAGTTTCTAAACAAATGCAGTTTTTAATTAGATTATCCAATCAATTTTCATTATTTATAAATATTAATTTTGAATCTCCTAAATTTATTGGCAAAAATAGAGTTATCAGTCCAATATTTTCAATCTAAACTTTAAAATGATCCAAATTTTTTTATAAGATCAACTTGACTTGATTTATGAATAACCATTATATTAAATTTTAAATTTCAAAAAATTAATTTAATAGTTTAATAATAAAAACGTTAATTTAAGTCTTGCCTTCCTAGTTCTTATTGGTAAGAGAGGAAAAAATTAAGAATTCAATTTTTTTTCCCTTTTGTATGCTCCATTAAAGCTTATATTATCTCATGTTATCTCTTATTATATTTATCATTATTGTATTGTATGATTTATAAAAATAAGAAAAAGGGTAGCATTATCACTTTGGATGGTGCTAAATTCACTACGGAAATTGTTATTTCCATTACTTTTTTTTTAAATGAGTATTGTAACATTTTCATGTCATCATTGATGAAGAGGGTATTTTAAATTGTAATGTAATAAACATTAATGAACAATTTATATTAGTCCTCTTAAGAAAATCTAGTGGGAATAATAAAAAGTAAGTGAATTTAGGAGTACCCTATCACATTATGCCTTAATATTATTATTTTCAAATAATAATTAAAAAAAATAGATATCTTGTGCCAAATTCTCTTTTTATTTCTTATGAGGAAATGTTTTATATAAAATGACAATATATTTTTGAGGATTTTTCTGAGGGTTGGGAATAAATATATCCTTCAGATGGTGCTAAATTCACTTAAAAATTGTTGTTTTGATTTGACTATTTTCTTTTTCAAAACGACTATGCGCAGGTATATTAATTAGTTCGAACAATGTTCAAGCTCATTTTTGCACACCGCACTTCGAAGAAGCTGTTTTTAGGCCCAACTGCGATGCCTTTGGCAATTGGATTACGCAGATTCAGGGTGTAACCAACACCAAACCTCGCTGTATGATCCACAGCCCATCTACCGATGCTCACTTTTCTTTTTCTTTTTTCTTTTCATCATAAAACTAACTTTCCTTTTCTTTTTCTTTTTCTTTGATTGGTCTTTTCTTATTTTTAACCTTTTCCGGATCAAAATTTCAAAGATGCATTATGCATGCATGGGTAAAATAAGGTATAACATGACATAATAATAATAATAACAATAATAATAATTGGAACACGAGTGTGAATGAACGAGTCAAGTAAAAAAATATAATAAAAAAATAAGAATAATCACTCAATATAAAGATTCACTTAATTCAGTAATTGTGTTTATTATGCGGTTGTACTAAGATTTTTTATGAGTAGCGTTCAAAACTACAAACTACATTTACATCATTTTTTACAATTTAATGCATAAAAATATTATTCTTAAACAACTTTGCATATCAAACAAGATCAAATTTCCTCTTAAGGAAATCTCATATTTTTTATATCACTTTGGTGCATGCAAGCAAATAAATTCTCTTGTATGCTAATTTCGAGGTTCCAACTTAAAAAAATAAAAAAATAATAACAAACCTTCTTAACTAGCAAATTTATCCTAAACTTTTTATTATTCTATATAAAACCCTGAGTTATAACAAAGAAATATATAAATTAATTAATTTCAAGGATTTTAAGTTTTCCTCAATTCCTATCCAGTACTATTGTGGGAAAGATCCAGGTTCTGACAACTATCAAACTTGTGTTCTAAACCTAGGATAGACAAATTTATAGAACCAAATGCAATCATAAACAAAACAGAGAAAAATGATGTCAGTTTGGAACTCAGATTTAGACAGTTGAGTATGAAAGCACCAAATGGTTTATGGGTTAATGATTCCTATTGTTAATGTATTGTAAGCAATTATTTAATCACATTTGTGCATTTAATGAAATCAATTATTTAATCTAAAATGCAATCAATTATTTAATGAAACTCCCAATTAGTAATTTGAATTTGACTAACAGCGTTAAATTAATTGCGTCATTTGACCGTTGAAATTGTTAGTTTTTTTTTCTTCTCATTTTTTATTGCTTAAAACATTTATAGAAATTAAGAAAATAAAAATGTACTCTATTGTCTTTTTTTTTTTAATCATTTAGTATAGAGATTTGATTAAATTAATAATTATTTGTAATACCTGAACAATAGGAATCATTAACCTAATAATTTATAGCTTGCGCAGCTTGATTATGTCAGTCTTATGCGAACCGTTCGTAATAATGAAGTGAAATATTTAGATGCAATCCGACAATTTCCTCCAATCGCTTTCTTTGCATCGAAAATTCTTCTCTTGAAGACTTAAAACTTTTTTGACCTTTCACGGGGGATTATTCATTTATCTGTGTGGTCTGAGCTCATCTTCCTTTATTGAAAATCCACAAATGCATCCATTTAGTTCACATAACTGTTAAAGGTCCGTTTGGTATGGGGTTTTCTTCTTCGTCTTGTCCCACTTAACTAAATTTTATTGAAGAGGAGAATGCATCTTTAATTTCTATATACTAAATGTTGACTTTGATAATATTCTAGATGGTTTGAAAATCTGAGTGTTCGAAGATCAAATTGGGTCAATGATGTAACTTGTTATCGAACTTTCTCGCATGGAAAAGAAAGGAAAAAAGAGGAGTAGCATTTTCAAAAACATCAAACTTTCTAGAATGAAGCAAATGCATGCATTAGACATTTAATGTCGTTTTATATTAAAAATTTCCTCATATAAGAAATAGAAAGAGAATTTGGCACAAGATATCTATTTTTTTATTATTATTTGAAAAATAATATTATTAAGGCATAATGTGATAGGGTGCTCCTAAATTCACCTACTTTTTGTTATTCCCACTAGATTCTCTTAAAAGGACTAATATACATTGTTCATTAATGTTTATTACATTACAACTTAAAATGCCCTCTTTATTAATTATGACATGAAAATGTTACAATACTCTTTTTTTATATAAAAAAAAATAGCTTTTAATTTTTTTAAACTTAATCAATAAAACTGTTACTTTAAAATTAAACACCTTCAGCAAATTTTACATCACTAGTTGAAAGAGCATATGTCCTAGAAATTCTAAGTAGACTAATCGTTGTGCTGAGTATGCATGGATTGTGATTGAGTAATGACATAAATTTATTTTGTAAGGGTGATGCTTGGAAAAAAGGTCTAAGATCAAGTATGAATTATGAACAGAAATATCAACTATGAGGGCTAAATTACTTTCAGATATCCCATTGTGTAGGAAAGCTTTATTTTGGAAAGAAGAAACATTAAATTAATTTTTTGTCGTAAGATATTAATTTATTTAATGCATTCGCTCACCCACCTTTGGTAAGATATTTATTTCTTTTTTCTAGAAGGTAAGACTAATAAGCAGTCGAAAACGAAAGAATTCATTGATGTTGTTGTCGTATGCGTGATATAAGTGTATGCTCATCCTCTTGGATGGAGAAAATTTTAGAAGGTTGTAATTGAAAGCTCCAAGAGATTCAATTATGTTTGATTTGAACCAAATAATTTTTACTTTCTTTGTCATAAAAATCGTTTTTTTTTTTTTCACTTTTCACTCAGTTTAAAAAAACTATTTATTATTATATTATATCAATGTTTTTTTATTTATACTTTTCTAAAATAATTTTTTATTAAAATTATTAATTATCAGAGTTAATTTTACACTATATGGAACCAATATTAATTTTTTTTAAAAAAAATTATTCAAAATTAAGATGATAAATGAAAAAAATTATTAAATTAATTAATAATAAATTTAAAATAATTATAAAAATATAATATTATTTTAATTTCAAAATTTTAACATGCAGTCAAATACTTATAATAATGGATATTTTAGCCTGTATGACATTTCTGTGAATCAGGATAGTCAATGGAGATTACGTACGTGTGGGTTGAACTCAACATTTGTCTTTTTTTGCTTAATTGGTGCAATGAATCATATTAAATATATTCACTTGTTTTGATATAATACTTAAAGATTTTTATTTGTCTCTAAAATTTCAACTGCATTCCAACTATTTTTAAATTTTTTTTAAAATATTTAATCTATCATGTCGATCATATAAATTTTTTTACACCGAAATACTTTTTATTAAAATATAAAAAAAATAATTAAAATCACATGGCTTTTATGTTATATTTTTAAAGTCTTTTATTTTTTTCTATTTTTTTTTCAATTGGGCATTTCAATCACCTTGTTGAAAGTAGAATTAAATACCTTATAATAAGATCAATCATGGTATAATTAACAACAATAAAAAATAATCTTATTTTATAATTAACAACACTAAAAATTAGATTTTCAATTGCATTTCATCTATCTCCGAAAACTTTTGAAATGTTAAATTTGTCTTTCCAATTGAATTTTTTGACCATATAAATTTTTTTAAACAGAAATGCCTTTTATTAAAATGTGAAAACAAAATACAAAAACAGTTAAAATCACATGACTTATATGTTATTTTTTAATTTTTATTTTTTTCGCATTCCAATCATAGGTATTTTGGTCAAAAAAGTTCATGTGGTTGAAAAATTAATCAGAATGACATATTAAGTATTTCAAATATTTTTTTTAAAAAATAAAATGCAATTAAAAATTAGTCAATAATAACTATTAAATTAAAAAAAAAAGACAATATTTGTCCAAAGCAGGATGATATAAAGACAAAATTGACTCCATTAATAATTGAAGTTTTTAACGTACCATAACTTTAATAATTCAAGGGTAAAAAAATGCCATTAAATCCATACTGAAAACAAGGATTGAACACCCAAGCTCCTGCATGAAACAAAGAGACCCCATACCACTCGGGTACAAAGCGATTGGATTCATTTGCCGTAGGCATCTACTTAGCCTGGGTGCATAATGTATTAATGGATACAATAACTAGCTCCATACGAATGGGTTAGACTTTCATAAAGGAGTTCACATATCAGACGGCGCAGATTCTGGAACCCAGAAGAAGTCTCAAGTAATGTATCATCAAGCACATGCCATTAATGGCTGTGGCCATGCCTTGTGTTCATGATGTTCAATATACCTTGAAATAGTCAATACCTTAAATTACTTCTAATTAAGCGCCGTTATTCAACTTGTAGATGATATGTCACTAATCCTATCGTTTTCATTTTGAATAAGACTAATTTTATCTTTAACGTTGGATGGAGTTGGATGAAGATACTGAAAACAAAAATGTAAATAATCCTAGACTGAAAACAGATCGCATCAAATATATGTAGATCACTGCTGTGACCTTCGGAGTAGAATTTGTACAGAAGACATTTCCTTTTCGTTTTCTATTGAATTGAGCATCTATTACAAAACATTAAATGGAATGCGTGCCGCACTGTCCCACGATAGAAGCATACTCGTCGATTCTTGAAAATGAAAAGGTCCGAATGGTCCAAAAGAAGTATAATTGATTAATAGCAATATGCTTAATTATTTAATTTATTGAATATGTTGAAAGGTGCAAATCCAATCAATTTGAATAGCTAGCTAGATGACCTAAATTAACTAATCACATTGACTTTGCATCCTCAGATCCTCTTGCACGTTATCTAGAAACACAAGGTTCCTCTTCATCAAACCCTGTACACGAAGACATGTCATGTTCTAGTTATGTTTCATAAGAAATGGCAACATTAATTAACGATTGAGAAAGACAAAAGATAAGCAGAACTTACAATTGAAATTCTACGTTAATCGATGTTGCAGAAGGGTCTGCGATGGTACCGAATGCGGTCGTAGAAAGGACTATGGTAGCACCATTTGATGAAGGTCTTGACCTCGATGTTTGCGAACGATCCACTATTCTTACCTGAATGACCTGGTCCGGATTGCAAGTTCTAGGGACAGCTGCACTAATGCACCTCACCAAGTATTGTCTCCCACAAGCTGCACCATTGTCCCATAAACCCTCGCCGGCGGCGGCAAACATGTTGGTTGATGGGAATTGTGATGCTGAATTCCCATAGCAGGCAGTGGCTGCATTATAATCACCCAAGAAAGAAAGAAGGAAGTTAGGAAGGAGGGAAAATTTTTCAAATGTCAGTTATGGAAGTTATATGATCTGTAGACGTAGTAATAGCACTTACGTAAATATGGAGGACTGTAGTTGGCAGCAGTGCCAACATCGCCATGTGAGAGATGGAAGAGTGTTGCCAGGAGCAATATGAGTAGAAATGGAGAGGTTTCCCCCAAGATTGACATGTTGCTGCTACCGAGGGATAAACCTTCTACGCGTTATTAGTTCATTAGAAGTTGTACGTTGCTAGACTATAAATACGTACGGCTTGCTATAGCCTATTTAAAAGTCCACTTCTTAAGTTCTATGTTCTCGATTTGGTATGAACAGAAACAATTAGGACAACTATAAAAACGGTTCCCATTTTTCAACCATGAAATACTAGTCACAAGATACAAATGTGGTTTGATGCAATATTATTTTTGCACAATATTAAAATATATATCTCATATTAAATAGTTAAAATCAAATATGATTAATATATAAAGTTCAAAAGGAATCATTCACAATAAAAATTAAATTTTTTTGACAGAATCTAATCTTAACTATTTAACTTTATATAGCATCGAGTCTAAAAAACGACTAATGATTCGAGTAAAGATTTTAAAACTCAAATCACTTGAAAGACCTCAAAAGATAGGTGCAAATAAAAAAAATATTAGAATATGTATCTCACGTTGAATGGTAATTTTAGATTTATATGAGCTATTAAAACCTTAAGCATATAAAATATCTCTTGTAAGACAATTTTGAGGCCGCCTAACTAAACTGGATGTGGAAGTAAATAATCTCCTAACATGTTCTGCAAGTAAGTCAGGGTGCCGACTTCTCGAAGGCATATTATATGCCGTATAGGTAACATCCATGCTGTAAACGTACAAATAAGGGAACAAAGTAATTAAATCTCAGCAGCCGGCTCTTCGCTAAAGGCAGACTTTTGGTGCCTGAGACTGAGCACTTGCCGTCCCAGGGACGAAGTTTTCGATGTCTTTAGTGTCATTTCTTTGCATAAGGTTCTTGGTGAATTCTGTGAGCCTTGCACAAATGTAAACAAGTTAAAGCAATGCGTCGAGTTTGTTGAACAATTTCTGGGACGCCTTGGCATCCTGCTTGATGATGGTTTGTGCACCCTGCCGTTTGCTTGAGTTGGGCTATTTCTCTGTTTAGTCTTCGGTCCATTAGTTAATTACTCCAAACAAAATTTCCGGATCTCTAAATGCTTAAGATGTTGCATCGTTTGGATTTTTTTTTAATTGAGATTTTTTATTTTTTTAGTTTGATTAAAATTTTTTATTTTTAGAGATTTATTGATTCAGAATATTTATTATAATTTTATCAATAATAATGTACCACGTAGAATATGAAGTCTGAATAAATAAATATTTAAAAATAAAAGATTTTAATCAAGAAAAAAAAGAAAACTCAATAAAAAAAATTTTAAAAATACAAGAAATGAATGTTGAGTAAATCCTATTTGGGTGGGAATTATATATCAATATATAGAATGTGAGATATTAACTATAAATGCATGGATTGGAGTGTTTTTCTATTCCACTATAAGATTTTAGATTAGTTTATATATAAATTGAGATTATATCTTTTTCTATTAACTATAAATGCATGAATATTAAATATGTGTTTCTCGATTTAGTGCATTCAAAGAATCAAAATTCAAATTAAAAAAGTCGAAAAAGATAACAAACTTTATTTATTACTAGATCAATCTGTTGGAGTAAGAGTTTGACATTCTCAAATGCCCCGCGTACATTAGAGAAGTATGATTAGTGTTGGGCAATGGGTCCAACTCATGTGACTTAGATAATTATCCGACTAAGAAAAAAGATTGAAAAAATTAAATAGAAAAGTACTAGAATAAAAAAAATTATTTTCTTGCTTTGTTTTTTCTATGTAGATGAGACGTACATACATATTAAAAAAAAAATTTAGCAAAGTTGCCAAAAATAGCAATTATAGATTAAAAATAAATAAATAAATAATTTTTTCTATTTTTGAAAAAAATCTATAAGAACAAACCAAGGATTTTTAGTGTATAAAATATTAGGTTTCTCTAACATTAATATTTGGGTTCTTCTAGAATTGCAATGTCTATGGTTATGGTTATGATTTCACACCTTAGTGGACTTTATAAAAGTACAAAAATTTTGTAGATTCTATTCTTTTGTAATTAATGAGACATATTTAGCTAAAGAAGTGAGTTATATTACTGTCAATGTTTCTATTTCTCAAGTTTATGAAAAAATTTTAGTGGTTGTATTGTTTTTTTTTTTTTTTTAATTATAATGGATTATTTTGGAGTTGGTTATGTAGTTTTTTCCTCTACATGTAAATTTAGTGCTTTTATAGTTGTCTTTTGTGATTAATTTATTTTGTAATCTTGATAATTATTGTATTTGACTTAATTATTTTCTCTCAAAATCTAGTTTCCATGGAATATAATTAAATTCACAATAATTAGTTATACCTTGACGTCCTTGCTAATTTAAGTTGGCATAACAATATTTTTCGGGTTACATTTCTATAAATTATCTAAGTCCTCAATTTCTCCTAATAGATTGCACCTAAAAATATTTTTTTTTCATTCCAAAAAGATCCTCTACCTTCCTATTTTTATCTGTCTCAAAATAATTGTCTAGTTAAAATTTTAAATTCTGCACTTTTAAAAAATATCTTTAATTAAGCTTATTTTGTAAAAGAATGTCTAGAAATAATTTTTTTTAAATATATTTTAGAAAAGTATGAAAATAATACTAATATGAAACAATAATTAAGAACCTTCTTAATTTATTTAAAAAGTAAAAAAAAAAAAAAAAAACATTTTTGTGGAAAATAGAGAATTTTTTGGAAAACTTTTTTTTTTTTTTCCTTTTTCATTCATTGGCTGGCTGACCGGTTTTTAATACTAAACCTAAATCCTCCGTCCATCCCTCTGGTGTCATGGTCCCTCCGAAATCCTAACCGTTGGATGTGGACATTCTTAAAACTATTAATTTGATTCTATATTCATGCCTATTAATCAACTTTTAATAAATCATTTTCAATTGATTATCTTCAAAATGGTGACAGTAAAGTTAAATTTGAAGCCTAGAATTTGTTTTTATGATAAATAACTTGGTTATTCTATTTCTTAAATTTTTAAAGAGTAATAAAAATTATATCCTAAAAACTCATTCAATAGTTTAAATTTTTATTTTGAAATAAATTTTTTTATCCGAATTCATAACAGTTTGTTTGGACGTCATCAAAGTTTCAATATTATATTAAAAAAATCATATGAGATCTCAAAATATGATTTATATTACCTTTTAATATTTATTTTAATTAACCTAACTAGCTAGAAATTATACTCGATCAACCAATTAGATTAACTTGGTCATCTTTGTATTTTTCAATTTTGTTTTTCTTCCTGGCCTTAATTATATCATCAAACTAGATGGATGACATTTAGTAATATTCATGTTTCTGGTTCACAAACACATCCATTATGTATCTATGCCTATAATTTAGAGAACAATATCTATTTATACGTACTATATAATATTCATTCAACGTGCAAGAAGAATCAAATACGAGAAGAAATATCAATTAACAGGTCAAAATAGATTAAAGGGAAGCATCAAGAAAAAGGTACCTGGAATATATTGTGTTCTGATCAGGCTGAAGAGGGACAGGCTCTGCAAGACAAATACACGGAGAAGCTTTAATTAACCGAAGGTGGGTAGGAATATATACGGTGATTTCACAATAATCTTATCAAATGGTTTCGTAGAAATTAAGGAATGTAAATCTAAAATTAAGGAGAAAGGAAGCCAAATATAGGAGGTTATGTGGCAATTTTACTGATTTACCCATATATGCCTTTAATATAGAGCAAAACGTTAGCGTTGCGTAAGATTGCACTCAAATCCAATCTTCCGTCAAAGTAACAATTTAGTGCTTTATTAAGGAATAATAAAAACTATTATTAGTATTCAATGTTCATATCAAGAAATTATAAATTATTCTCTTTCATTTTGCAAGACAAATTAAATATTTTTTTTAGTTTTTAAAACCAACTGATTAGTCATTTTCGTCTATTATATATATTTTTTAATTTACTTTATATTTGTTTTTGTTTTAAGAAAAAAAGAAGAAGTAAATAATACGAAAAAATTGATGAAAAAAATATTTTTCTGCAGCAAGGTAATATTAAATTAAGCATGAATAATACTAGTCAATGGACTAATTAATTAGTTTTTGAAACTAGAGAAACTATTTTATTTGTTTTGCTGGCTAATTTATAGCTTCCTCCATATGTATATATATATATTTTTTTTTTGAAAAAATAGAAATTATGTTGATTTTTAAAATGTCTCCTTTTGCGATATTGTCTTAATATTCTTGGATTGAACCTTTTAAAAAAAGAGTTTTTATTAAAAAAAAAAAAAGGAGTATAAGTAGACAAATAGAAAATTATACTAAAAAATCTTATTAAAATAAATTGCATTTAATACAATGATTTTATAGAATTACTTGTATACATCAACTATATCAATTAGTATTTAACTAGATTTTTTGCCCATATTATACTTGCAGGTTGAATAAAAGATATAAAATTATTTGATTTTAATTGTACTGTTTTATGATGTGAATTTATAAAAATATATGAAATCAAAGGTGAAAAAAATATATTTATAATTTTTTTAGTCAAAAATTTTGTATTTAACTATTTCTTATTTGTGTTTTTCATAATTTTTTCTTTAGAAAAAGGATTTATTCTTATTAATCCATGGATTATTAACTACGAAGAAAATTAAATGATTTTGTAAAAAAACGCTTTAGTATTTCATAAGATTGTGTTGAAAAAAAAATAACAATGATTAAAAGCTTACGTAGAATTGAACAAATAATTTATTTTTATTTTTATTTAATGTTGATGAGAATATTGATTTTTGAAAAAAAATGTGAATTTAATTTTTATATATTTATTTTAAAAAGAATGAATAATATTAAAATAAATCAAAATTGTCAATAGATATAATTTTAAATTAATTGAATGAGAATTTTTTTTAAAAAAAGATAAATTAAAGTAGTAAATTTGAAATAATAAAAATAATTAACAAAAAACACTAAAACAAAATGGGACCAAATCACAATATTATTAAAGTTTGAAATTGAAAAAATATAT